TCAGCTGTTTATTAGGCTGCATTTATGCAGTTCAAGGGATAATTCTCACCTAAAGAGGGAGGACACTCCTCAGATGTCTTAAACACATGGGACATCGTAAAACAGTAAACACACACACATACAGTAGCCTACTATTTGTTATTGGTTATTAGAAATCAGCTCTTTATTAGGCTGGATTTATGCAGTTCAAGGGATAATTACATTACATTTCATTTCATTTAGCTGACGCTTTTATCCAAAGCGACTTTCAATTACCAATTACAGGGACATTCTCCCTGGAGTAACTAAGGACTAAGTGCCTTACTCAAGGGCACACTAGTGGTGGTGTTCCTGGCGGGATTTGAACTCACAACCTTCCGATCTTCAGCCCACCTCACTATCCATTAGAGTAGACCACCACTATCCATTAATTGTCACCCACTTCTTGTTCTTGCCCTGCAGATGTGCCAGTTGAGCTGGTTCTTCCACCCGCAGGAGGCTGGCTGTATATCTGAACTCGCGCCCTCATCATTCTCTTCATCATCTTGCACTTGTTCTAAGCTGCTGATGATAGTGCTTGTAGCAGCGCCGCTGCCAAAAAGGTCTGTCAATTTGCGACATTTATATGCTTCACCTGCGAGTGACTTCACCTTTTTTTCTCTTGCCTTCTCAGCCCCACCTTTTTCTTTTAGTTTTCTTTGATTTGTATCCATGTTTTTTCATTCTCCCTGTCTGCCGCGGCGTCTATACCCTGCTGAAAAAAACAGCTTCAACCAACTAAGTTGACCAGCCTGGCTGGTTTAGAGGGGTTTTGGACACTTTAGCTGGCCAGGATGGCTGGTTCAGCTGGTTTAGCTGGTGCACCATGCTGAACCAGCTGAACCAGCTAAACCAGCTAAACCAGCCATCCTGGCCAGCAAAAAAAAACAGCATCCATCTATCACCAGTTTATGTTTAATAATAGTATTAAATCATGCTGGAAGCTTACCAGGATTCCAGGTGACCAGCATACATTGTTTAAATACTGGTATGATTATTTAAAGTGGACCTATCATGCTATATTTGAACAATATATTGTAGGGCCATACCTATATAAAGTATATAAATATAGTTTCTTTTTCAAAATACCAAACAGATCCTGCATTTTAGCCATGCCTCATTTCGCTCTATTTGCTCTTTCCAGCTCTGTTTTTGCAGGGGGCTGATTCTGTGAGCTGCAGCTGACCACGCCCCCCTGCAGGAGAGGGGAGCGTGCTTTGAGATCAGCTGCTGGGCTCTCAGAAGAGGGGGAGGAAAAGAGAGGCTCCGTCCTCCGTGTATTATTCTTATATTATTATATAGAGTAGTTATTCATTTGTTTTAAAGCTCAATAAATAACAAAGAAGACCTTTGACTGGCACTTTTCTAATTTTGTCCGGAAGATTTAAACTTTAACGGACATGTTGACCGGCGAAAAAAAATCTAACTGAAACTCTGCCGCACGGTCCCCTCGTTCCTTGGAAGAGGCGGAGAGGTGGGTGTTTGTCATCTGCTGGTGGACTAACCGGAGAGAATTACAGTGCTTGCCTCGACGGGGAGGGATTGCATTGAATTACAGCAGCAGGAGCAAACGCTTGCCTCGGGGAGGGAGAAAAAGAGCCACAGCGGAGAAAAACAGAAGGGCAACCATGGCAACCATGCGCGGGAAGTCTTCTTCGCTGTTTTTGTGGCAGACTACAGCGCCACTTACAGGCCTGGCATATGTACTACAGCGTCTCCAGCGCTTTCGAGCGGCAATGGCCGGCCGTGGCCCAACCCCACATTCCTCTGATAGGTGGAGAGTTGGCCATATAGGCGGAGCTCCTCGTTCCTGACGTCAGAGGAATTTCAAATCTGTATCAGTCTGTATCAGATCCGTTGCAGCCCCATTTTTAGAGATTTGGGTATGGAGGAAAAGAGAGAGGGTTGTGTTTTCTGACACTTGGTGAGTTCCCTGGAACACCGGGGACACATATTCATGTATAAAAGACGTACAAAAGTGCATTTTGCATGATAGGTCCCCTTTAAACTAGAGAACATAAATATATTACAAAGATTCATTGTGTCATGTATTCTGGTATCTACAAAAATAAAGACATTGTATAGTGTTCATAACAGTATTTTAATTGAATAAATAGCAATAAATAGCTAGTTAATATAATAAAATACACAGTAACAATACAAATAACAACCAACCTGCAAATCAACCTACACATCAAAATTAATATATTATCTAAAACAGGTGCATTTGATTTAAAATAAAAGTAATAAATAGAATTCAATATTTAAATGGTAACAAAAACAGTAACACTATGTATGATAAGAAAAAGGCCGTCAGCGCAACTTAAATGATGACGTAAAACAATTTTTTTTAAAGGGCCGGCCGGCCGTCAACGGCCCTTGAGGACCGGCCGTTCTGTGGTTCTCCAGATTCTACAGATGGCCAGTCGGCCCCTCTGGGTAGATAAAATGGACGTAATCCCACAGCTAGCAGTTCAATGTCCGGGCTACAGAAACGCTCCTTCACAGTAACATGTCCAGGATTACACCATCGTTCGTTCACATCCAGTGCAATCCCTCCTCCTTTCTTTTTGCCGCTCAGAATAACGTCCCTGTCCGCCCGAACACTCATTCTCTTGTTTGTTTTTTCTTGTATTTAGATTGTATAAAACCATTAAAAATATTTTTCCCAAATTGTATTGAAATCTGGCATAATTTGTAACAATTAACATTTTATCTGTAGTATATGTTTACAACTAAGACGTATCTAAGGCAAATTCAGTGTGGATGAAGGCCCATAAAAGAACATACTGAAATGTGAATTATTTTGGCAAGGACTTTACAACAGCCAGAGGTGGGAAGTTACTTAGTACATTGACTCGAGTACTGTACTTAAGTACAGTTTTGAGATACTTGTACTTTACTTGATTATTTCCATGTTATGCTACTTTGTACTTCTACTCCCCTACAATTCAGAGGTAAATCTTGTACTTTTAATCCACTTAATGTATTTTGTACCTTTAGTTACTTAACAGATTTGTATTAATGATGTGAAATATAATCAACACTTAAAGGTGGGGTAAGTTTGAGAAACCGGCTCGAGATACACTTTTTGTTATATTCCATGGAATGCTCTTAACATCCCGATAGCAATGAATATCTTAAGTGCTTTGACAAAAAATCCATAAAAGAAATTCATCTGTGGAAGCCGTAATACTGTAAAAAGTACGACCAATCATTTTAGCCGGCCCGGCTAAAATAACTGGATGGCCTACCTGCCTGTCAGCCTTCCATCTGTGCACAAACTTATCTCGTGCCCTCATTGGTCATGTGCGCGTACGTGTGTGTTGGAGGAGGGGCTCTATAAGGAAGTGGCAGATTTTCTCCGGTTGTGTATTTTCAAATTCTAGCGATCTCGAGCCGGTTTCTCAAACTTACCTACCCCACCTTTAAATAAGACTTTAGTTACACTTGGAGTACATTCACAAGCTACCCTGCAACATACACTTTACCAGCTTTGATAACACTTTAATGATCAATAATTATAATCAAAACTTATAATATATATTATTCTGAAGTGGGCCAATTTGCATAATGAGTACTTTTGCTTTAGTTATATTTGAATGCCAATACTTTGTTTTACTTTTACTTAAATAACATTTTGATTGCAGGACTTTTACTTGTTACAGAGTGTTCTCTGGTACTTCTACTTTGACTTAAGTACAAGATCTTCTCCCACCTCTGACAGCAATATATAAAAACCCAGTATAAAATAAAATGTCACGATAAGCGCTGGAAGTCTGTAGATTAACAAGAACCCTCGACTGTAAAAAACACCAAATGCAGAATGGGAAAACATTTTTCCCATTAACATCAACCTAAAAAAGTATGAAGAAGTAGTGATGCTAAAGCATCTGCTCATCACATGTGGAGTTAAAGGGATCAGAATCAACATTTCTGTTGTTAACAGCACGTCTGAGAAAGAGACACCAAAGAAGAAGAACAAAAAATTTAAGCAGGCCTCTGTTGCAGTATACAGGCAACCAGTATATCAACACATTGTGTGCAAATCAACTTAGACTCAAATGCTTCCTGTTATCTTTGGTGTTGTAGTTACTAAAGCTATTCTTGCAGGGCACAAGGTGGCTCCATAGTTGCAAAATATGTCTGCCTGCAAGCATAATTGTCCATGATAGTAGTTGGAGGTTTAACATGTGATTTTGCATTGGTTTGAGAGGATAATACAGAAACACAAAAAAAAGAGTCTGGTTCATGCCAAGTGGTCTTCAAATAAGAAAAATGTGCTGTATTATATTTGTGCATAGACAAGATAAATAAATATAATACAGAAAACACTAAAGTAAAAATATTTTAAAATACTATTTTAACATTACAATGAAACAGTTGATAGAGGAAAGCCAAGCCATTCCTTTGGCTAAACGGATGCAAGTCAAAACATGCATTGGTCACACCGTTTTTTCCAATACGTTTTTTTTGTGTCTTAAAATACATTTTCACACATTTTTGTAATAGTTTCTGCTGACATTGGCATACATACAGATAAAAGGCATAACACATGTAGCAGGAACCCCTGTATATAATGTGAAGGGATATTATAACTATAAGAAAATACCAGAATTAGCCACATTTTTTTATTTTCAATAATGGCCCAGGCGTCACAGTACAAAATGGTTTTCTAGCAGAATAAGAACAAAAACAGGTGATGCTGTTTTGAATTGGAACAAACACACAAAGCATTTGAAGCAATAGGGACATAGGCCTGAAAGAAAGAAAATACATGTGTATGTATTAATCATCATCATTGTTTTAGGTCATTACCTAATGATCTATAAATGTTTAGATTTCTACAGTGAATCGGAATTACTGTATATGACAAGCTATATTCAACAGTTCAACAAAAGCACATTTTACCCAAGTAACCAGCATGGGGCGATGTCTTTGTCAACAGTATTTGTGGCCGCAGAAGAAGAAGATCAGACTACCGTAAAGTAGCAGCAGAAGAAGAAGAAGCGGCTTTGTGACACAAGCTAGCGATATCGCCTCGACCAGTATCTGTCCGGCCCTGAGAGGCAGTAAACATAGATACAATCCCCGTTGAAGGTGAGTGAATAGTCGCTGTGTTGTTAGTAATACAACGACATACAAATTGAAATCCTAACTCCGTGCAGTTGGCTGTGTAACTGCAAGGCTATCCGCTAACCTGTATGCTAACTACAGCTAACACTAAATAGCTCGCTAACCGCTAACCACTAACTTAGCTACGTGTAGCTACATCGTCACAACATATGTTAACCATTAACAAACAAAAGTATGGAAATGCATACGTGCATGTGAATCTGATATTAAAAAACACAACAGAGAACACAGCTCGCTAAATATTATTATTTGTTCACACAACCCGTTGCCGTAGCGCGTGGCACGCCATTTGCTGCGCGAGCGATGTTGTACAGGTATTCATGCCTATCGTTGGAAACCGTAAAACTAGTACATGCAGTAAGGAGGTCAAAATTGACCGTTAAACGATTTTAATAACTAGATATCCAGAAATAAAGTTACAGTTTGCATTACTCTGCAGAAGAGTCATTCATTTCCTGCAGAAAGTTTCAACCCCGCCTCTCTCATACCAACTGTTTGAATAATATCACAAGTGGTCAACGTATGTAACTTACTGATAACTGCATTGGATAATGAGAAAGTATATCAGTTCTGTGTTGATACACTTGCATATTATTTAATTACCTGAGGTCTTTCAAAGAGAGCAAATGGATATATGAATAGATTGATATACAACTTGGGTAATACATTTGGAATTCATGTTTTAACAATAAACGTTGAATGCAAAGAAAAATTGCATTGTTTAGAGTTATTTTATGAATACAAACTAACGGCAAAACAAGTTAAAGATTTTTTCTTTTTTTCCTTCCTCAGACGGTGCCTGTTTTTGAATTGTGTCGACACAGAATCCAGGGCATCGTTGAAGTTAATGTATGTAAAGGGCTGCTTCCTAAAAAGCATTATTTTAAAATTCCTCCAACCATACATTAAATGAAACACTAAATGCTTTCACTTTCATGTATCATTTTGAAATCTGTGTTTTGCTGAAATCCTTTTGCATTTGGCCGTGTTGGCTGTGTAAAGACATCATCTAACCTTGAAAACTTTTTAAATCATTGGTTTCTTCAACCTACAGAAGAAAAAAAAAAGTTTTGACATTGACAAGTTGATCATAAACCCATGATTTTAATTTTATTTCCTCAATGCAATTTTCCTCAAGATATTTTGAACATTTGGAGCAAAGAGAATGATTTAAACAAATGGTGCGTTGCTATTTGTGGGGAGTCTGTACTGCAAATTAGTGAAACCATACAGACATTAACTGAAACCAGCTCCACTGCTAAACAATTTAAAGGACAGACAACGTTGAGATACGCAATGGGACCCTAAACTTAAATCGTGAAACATTTAAAAATGTCACAATATAACATCGCCTTGACTCTCCGTGGGTATCTGCCATTTTCTTGCACTTTCTCTTTTCAACTGCAATTAAACGTTGCGTTAGGGTTCGCGGCTTGGTGTTGCCTTCGGTGAAATGTGTTTTCAACATTGAGTTCAAACCATTTTCGGCTTATTTTAGCATTAAATGGAATCAGATGCTATCTGGTTTAGCTTGCGGACGCATTCTACGATAATACAAAAAAAAGAGTTTCTTTACTTCAACAAAAGATGTTGCCAATATATACGATGAAAAAGTCTCCACTGGATTGCCACAATATACCGCCTACCCCTGGGACAAATGTCTTGTATCATGAAAATAATTTCTGGCTTGGTTGGCTTTGTTTCTCAACACATTGCCTTGCATCTTAAGCGGTATAAAGCCAGACAGCATCTTTCCCATCCCTCCATGAGGTATCATTTGGAAGGATGTCCATTGCATCTCCGAATTTGCGTCGTGGATTTACATTTGCGCTTAATATAAACCGCATTAATCGTACTCTGATATTCCACCACTGTCCTTTTGCGCCATTCAAGTCAATCGCTCTAATGCATTACGGTTCAGTGCAGCGTTAAATCTTTATAATGACCTTCTGTCAACAAGGATTTGCGTTTTTTAACCAGCTTGTTTCAATTTCGAATAACAGTTGAACATTTATTTGCCACTGCATTTACGTTGTCTGAACTTTGTGATTTTGGTCTGCCACTTTTTGCTCTGCTAAAACTTTTCATCCCTCCAAGGAATTTGATCTCTTCTCTTAATTCACTGACATGTTTCAGGATTGTGGACGACAATTTAAAGAAGCTTATTATCGAACCATCAAACCTTTTCAAGCATTTGGCACGCACGAAGAAACCAGCAAACCCTTTTGGATTGAGCCATGTCTCGCAGAAGAAGCCACAGCGCATCCCCAGGAAGTTTTTCGCGCTCCTGCAGCAGTAATGACCCTAGAGATTTGGAGAGACGGATTTTTGTTGGGAATTTGCCGACCTCCGACATGGAAAAGAAGGATTTGGAAGAACTGTTCAGCACATATGGGAAAGTAATCGGTTAGTAAAACACAATACAATCAATAGGTTTAATTCATGATAATAATTTTAATCAAATCTAGTAACATTACGCATCATGAGTCGTGTTTTTCATGATAGGCAAACCTGTGAAATTCATAATGATATCCCTACTGCTACTATTTTTTCAATTAGATTAATGGATAGTTATGTTTTTCAAAATGATCTTAAGACTGTACAACTTAAAATGTTCCTCTTCCAGGCGTGTCCATGTTTCGCGGGTTCGGATTTGTACAATTTGAACGGGTTGAGGAAGCCGAAGCTGCAAAGGTGGCCCAAAAGGGTCGACTGTATAAAGGTTATAAAATAGGTAAGCCTTTGTGGGTGTGATTTTCTGCCAAAGAGAATAGGTGTAAGGCAAACCCATTTATTGGAAGGTTGTTTTCTTTTCTGTTTTGACTGTGAAAATCTTGATTGGGCATTATATTTTCAGTGTACTTCCCTTGCCAGCAAAGAAGTAGCACATTTTCAGTTTTAACGATAAACACTTACAAATAGTTAATTTATGCCAATTGTATTTTAATATGCTGCATGCCCGGTGATAAAACTAGTGCCTGATAACCCACATCTGACAGAGTTTAGGTTGTGTCATTTGACTTACAACTCAACAAAATGAAGATTCAGCCTAGCTGATTTTTCTACCTCTTTTTTATTTGTAGACATGTTATGTTATTGAGTTACAAAGCAAATAAACAAGTGCATTATTACATTCTGGCAAAGCCTTGATCTCTGAAAAATCTCTTCAACATGTAAAGGTCTCGCTTATGTTGATGTGTTTTCTGAAGGTAACATTTCAAGTAGAAAATCAAATTTACTAAGGTTGTACCAAGTATTTGTTAAAGTCAATGTTTTCGAGGTTGTCCAACCCATTCTCGTTAACACAATACTTAGAAGAAATGTATTCAAATTTAGCACAAACGTCCACTTGGACTGAAGGATTAACTGGTTTTGATTTTTGGCAGACAAAGCCCACCTTGAGCCCTATAAACACATTTTTGGCCAAAACAGAAGAATTCATATGCCAATTGTGGACAACAGGACTGGTCCAATTTCAAAATTGACATTCATGGGTCTTAATGAATTTGTAGGCTTTACAACGCTTTGGAGTAATTGGAAATGTGTTGATTAAACGAGTCGGAAACAGACTGGAATAAAATTCTACAAATATTCGATTATTCATAATAAAGAAATAAACTGGGAAAAAATTCCAGCTTTAAACAGAAAAAGTAGCCATGCAAAAAGAGAAAAAGCCGCGCATTATTTGAATGTTTTAGAATTTGAAATTCAACGTAATTAAGCATCAAACTATTCCGTACAGCCCTGTAATTTCCGCATTTAAGATTGGCTAGTGTTAATCATTCTTTTGAACAGTACTTGAAGTAGTTTAATGATCACTTCATTTCTTGTTCATCCTACAATTCAATTTGACGGATTTGGAAACTTGATTTGCTGCATTTTGTCGCGTTCAGTTTGGACTTTCCAACTTGGATGTTGGAGCTCATTTTTATTTGGATCGTGGAAGTAGTGACGCGGCCACTCCGTCCTGCGTGAAAACAGAAGCTGATAAACATGTCACTGTTATGTTCAACGTTTGGATTGATTTATTTTCAGATGTAAATATGGCAGTGGAGCGACGGCAACCTAAACCTCAATCCCAGCAGAGCCCTCCACGAAGGTAAAGTAACGCGAAATGGGTGTGAAGATCTACCATCACCTTTAAAAAAACAAAAAAACAACAAAGGCGTTAAACGTGTTCCTCAACTGTCGTTTACCTCCAGTTTTGAATCCATCTGAATGTAATTTCCAAAAAGTGTCTGTCTCAAAGATTCAACGCTTTTCAACATTTGTGTTCTTTGAGGGGGTTAGTCGTGCATTTCATCTTAGACTTAGAATATGCAACTTTCAAGCGAAATAAAACATGATGCTAGTTTCACCCTGCCCCGGATCTTTAACACAGGTCCATGTTTGCCTTTGACACATCCAGAATAGATTCAGCTATTAAAACAACATTAAAATGTATTTAAGGGAGATTATATTGTAGGAATGTGCATTTACACCCATAAGATCACAGTCCAGGGCAAGTGATGTGTTTTAATGGTTATTTATTAGGATGCGGATGCATTGTGAATACGTTTGACTTTTGACATGCCATATAGCTATATCTCAAGCTAAATGAGTAAACGTTCATATTGTGACAAAACCAAATGTTGGAAGAAGGGAAGACAAATTGAGGATTTTGCTTAATTTAGAGCAAATAATTGTGGAAGAGCTTAGTAAATACTGGTCCAACCCTAAATAGAACGGAAGACTAGGCATCATGTACCTTTTCTTAACATGAAAAGTTCAAACTGCTCTTACCATGCCCACTTGGATACACCTAGGTCCTTTCATGCTTGTAGAAACTGTAACAAAGCCTCAGCTGTCATTTTCTACTGTTTGCTTCCAAAAAGGGTTTAGACCGGATTGTTCCATGCAATCAAGAATAAACTCCTAGAAATGTGTGGAAACATTTCAAAGCTGAGATTAATGACTTGTACTTTCTAAAAACATTTCAAGCACATGCTTTTTCATTCGCATTTCTTACCCAGTATTTGCAGCGTGAGAATGTGTTTCACTGGAGAGCAAAACACAAACCATCTCAAGCAAATTGTGCTAAAGCGCAAAATAAAATGCCTTGTTCAAAAAGGTTAAACAGCCATGGTTCGTTTCCACTTTCAAAGCTGGACTTATGATCAATGAAACTCAAGCGGCCGTCGTCTCGGTTTTGTTGCGTGCACGGATCGATGGACATTTTCAAAAATCATTGTTGAAAAGACATTTATCGGAACCACCTCCTGGATTGAATTTATGTTAGTTCCGTTTGCGACCACATAGCTGCTTTCTCTTTCTGCTTCAGTTGTGTACAAATGAAACAATACCAACTTTGCACCAGTTGGGCAGAAGTAACCCGTTGCAGTATTTCATAGGCAACCGAAACTCGTACCGGCCTTTTACTAATTGCAAACTTTTCTCTCAGGGCCCCGTACAGCAGCTATGGAGACGGCAAAGAGCCCCGGCCTCGGTCACGCTCACCTGTTTATGCGCGTGAGCCTCGGGAAAGTCGTGACGGACGAGAATCTCGGGACAGCCGAGAAGGACGAGAGCCTCGGGAGAGCCGTGAAGTAAGAGACCCAGGGAGGGACCCAGGGAGGGACCCAGGAAGGGACCCAGGGAGGGACCCAGGAAGGGACCCAGGGAGGGACCCAGGAAGGGACCCAGGGAGGGACCCAGGAAGGGACCCAGGAAGGGACCCAGGGAGGGACCCAGGGAGGGAACCAGGAAGGGAACCAGGAAGGGAACCAGGGAGGGAACCAGGGAGGGAACCAGGGAGGGAACCAGGAAGGGACCCAGGGAGGGACCCAGGGAGGGAACCAGGGAGGGACCCAGGGAGGGACCCAGGGAGGGAACTAGGGAGGGAACCAGGGAGGGGCCACTCTCGTGACCATGATTACCGGTACCGTACCTCAGAGAGCAGAGACAAGGACCCTCGTGATCCTGCGTACAGGTGACTACTGACACTGAGCCCATTAGTTTGAAATCCACCTTTTGCATCTTTGTCTGACCTTGAAATGTCTCCATGCAGCAGGGAAGAATATGACCGACTCTACCGCAGTGGCAGCGGTGCAGAAGAGTTTTACCGGAGGAAGGAAGAACCCTTCAGGGAGCCGTTCAGAGATCCCTGGAACGGGCGCCGTGAGTCAGAGGGTGTGTACGACGGTGTACTTTCCAAATATTATTGATGAATTACTGTTTGTGGTTATGGGTATCATTTTGACTAACTAGCTCGGTTGTCGAGATGTGAGGATGCAGCTTCATTACCAAACAGACAAACCTACAACAATCAGATTTTAAATACTATTCAGCTTTCTGTCCATTTCATAGTAAACATTTTTTGAACAACTGCAGTATTAAAACTAGGCTTTATTAGCATGTTTTTGAAGTCCTTCTATAATTGTTATTCAACCTTCTGAAAAATGTTCTGACTCTACAGCCGCAGCGGTAGATGATCGTGCGAGACCAGAAGAGCGTCGGCGTAATGAATTGTATCGACAGTACTACGAGGAACTCCAGCGACGCTACGACACAGACCGCCCGGTCGACTGCTCCGTGATTGTCGTCAACAAGGCGCAAAAGTATGTCCACTCTTTACAAGAAATCATGGATCAGAAACGTCTCTAGATTAGATTGGACTCAACTTTATTGTCCTTGCACAGAGTACAAGCACTAGGACCATGAAATAAACGGAATAAGCATCTAACCAGAAGTGCAAAACAAGTAGTAAAGTGCAGTGTTATTCGTAGCATAATATAAATATCTCTGTTCGACCAGTACATGGCATGTTTTTATTTCATATCGTTCCTGTGTTTCTTTGTGTGATTTGCTTGAAAATCTACTGTCGGGAGTATGCGGAGACGGTCGGGAGGAAAATCCGTGATGTGGGCATGGTGGTGGATCTGATCTTCCTCAACACGGAAGTGTCGCTAACACAAGCCCTGGAGGATGTCGGCCGAGCTCGCACTCCTTTTGCCATCATCATTACCCAGCAGCACCAGGTGCACCGCTCCTGCACTGTCAACATCCTGTTCGGCACACCGCAAGGTAACGCAAGCCCACAGTATCCACCTCTTTGGAACTGAACACTTCTCCCTCTTTACATTTGTTTTCAGTAACTTGTCATGTTCTTATGGTATTTCCTTTGTGCAAAAGAAAAAGAAAATATATAGTTTTTTTTATAATAGTTCTACTTAATGTCTCTTACTCTTTATGTATGCATTATGATACACAACATTCCGCGTATGTGTAAACCTACTTGGCAATAAACCTGATTCTGCTGGTTGGTCACCAAAGCGTGCATCTTCTGTTTTTACATGCTAACATTCCTCTTTCTTTAAATTGTATTATTTCCATAGAGCATCGAAACATGCCAATACAGGACGCCATGATGCTGGTTTCCCACAATTATGACACCTACAAAGTTGAAAACCGCGAAAAAGAACGCGAGGAGATTGCCAGAAAGGCTGCCAAGATGGCGGACGATGTGTTACTCAGGGAGCCTGACAGAGAGGGCCATCCCGTCTCTGTGCTCACCTCCATCACACTGCTGTCTGAGAACAGGTATGTTAATATTATATTAATATTTTAAGACCAGAGAAGTTGAGAAGGTAACATTAATGTAACTCTCTGTGATACCTTCTATTTTCAATTTCCATGTTTTGCATGCTATAGCCGCGTTCACACCAAGTACTTTGCCGTATTTAGTGCCGGCACTCAGCGCCCCGGCACTTATGACCCCAGGGCATTTAGTACAGATCGCGTTCACACCGGAGTACTTTTCTCTGAGGGAAGATTACGCAAATGAGCCGCTGACGTCACTTCGTCTTCTTCTGCTTTGGGTTTACTGGCAGGCAGCAAACAACTTCACGGCGTATACTGCCACCCGGAGTCCCCGGCCGGAAGTCCCCGGAGTTGGGGACTGGCTTCAGTAGAAGCTGCTGGGACTCCCAGCAGCTTCTACTGAAGCCTTCCGAGTAAATCGCCAGAACGCCGACACCTCCTCATCTCCACCGCTCCCATGTTTTTTTTTGTGTTGCCATAAGTTAGTCTCTCTGCGTTTGTGCGCTGGGCGAATGCTAATGCTAATAATGCTAATGCGAGGATAATAAAATGGCGGCTTCACAAAACGTTTTGGGAGTTTTACGGGGCGTGGTTTGCAATTCGCCCAGCCAATCAGAACTGGGGCACTTTTTCCCCCCAGGAAAGTACGATCTCTCAGCAGGCACTAAAAATGGGGGTAAAAGTTCCAGAGATTAAGTGCTCTTTTTGGTGTGAACGCGACATAAGGGGTACTAACGGAACTAAACGCGAAAAGTACGGTGAAAAGTACTCCGGTGTGAACGCGGCTATTGTTTCTTAAAAAGCTCCCACACTTTGAATAACTGTATTTCTCTGTGTGGTAGATTTGTCACCCCAGAGGAATTGGACAGTCTCATTGCCTACCTGAACGACAAAAGAGGACGGCTGCTGCGAAGCACTGCAGACCCTCTTGCAGGTAAGACAAAAATAATTTTCGCCAGACAAGAAACTTGGTGACTGTAATCATTCATCCTGTCCTTGCTGGCTCAGAGGATGTGATTTCAGTGGAAAGTGTTTGATTTAAACCAAAAATGGTTTAATATTTGAAATTGAACAGTTTTGTTGGTTTGTCTCCAAGCAGATGCTGAACAAAGCAATACAATCATGATCAAAACATGCAATCAAAGCTAATATTATCAGCTGGTTAAATGAATACATTTACATGTATTGCTGTTGGTATAAAGTATTTGGTAAACTATTAATAAGTTGTGTTGGTAAATGCTTTGAAAGTCTAGGAATTTGAAGTACCTGGAAATTGCTTGAATTTTACCAAAAATAACTGGACAACCTTGTTATCTTTTTTAACTATAATGGTCTAAGATTAGTTCTGACTCAGAGCTCCACCCAAGTCTGGACTGATACTCTTATCCAATTGCACACATCTATTCGCCCACTGATATTTGCATAAAGGTAGCCGGCCAATCAGGGCAAGCCTCCCTGATTACATGCAGATATTTAATGCAGGATAACAGACAGCAGCATGCCTGCCTTACATACTGTGTACTCTGCACCTACTCGGGTAGGGGGGTACGTTTGTGCAAAATTCAGTGGGCAACCGCAGTGTAGCCTAGGGCTTAGCCTGTGCTGATAGAACAAGTGTACTACAAAGTAACCTTTGTTATTGTTCCACTCATCTTGGTTTGAAACCAGAAGCTCAATGTGTCCAATGTTCCAGTTGGCAGAGCAGAAAACTCTAACTGCTCTTCTCCCCTTCTAGCTGCAGCTCCAGCCTCAGCCCACCATGACGTCCCCTCCTCAGCCGCAGGACTGCCCCCCCCACCACATTCCACCCACAACCCCCCACAGTCCAGCCACCTCGGCCTATCGGCTGCTTCCAGCGCTGCCCCCAACAGCAGCCACCAGCAGGAGCTGCAGGCCAAGATCCTCAGCCTGTTCAACAGCGGGCTGACAGCCAGCCAGCCCCCCCCCGCCCCCCAGCCCAAGCCCTACGGCTCGCTCGGCCCTCCCCCCTCCATGAATCCAACGCGTCCACCCATGCCCGGCCCCCCTTCAGCCCAGGGTTACGGCGCCCTGCAGGGCCGCATGCAGGTCCCCCAGGGTGGCCAAAGACCCCCCACCTCTGCCTCAGGTATCAATTTTGACAGCCCGAGCGTACAGAAGGCGCTGGACACCCTCATTCAGAGCGGTCCGTCTCTCAACCACCTGGTGGGCAGCTCCGCCCCTCAGCAGCCGCCCCCAAGGTCGTCCCCTGGCATGGGCCAAGCCCCCCCCATGTCCATGTACCCCCGACATTACTGATGGCCGTAGTGAATAACATACCCCCTCTCCCTGTGACACCTCAGACCCCCCACTAACTCTCTGTGCAGTGAAATAACCGCCTGTGTAAAGGTAGATCGTACAGTTGAGTGTTTTGTTCAAGCTTTTAATCTTTTTTTTTTATTAATAATTATGTGTTCAGTTGATTTAAGTGACAGCTTGGCGGGATTAGCTAATGTTCTGTTTTTTTTATTATTAGTCAGAAGATAATTGAGTCTTCTTAAATGTGAGTTAAACTGAGGCATGTGTATCAGTTTGTTTTGATGGACTCCTTTGTTCTTTTCCAACCATGATGTGTTTTATAGTTTTGCACATAGTGGGTTTTTTTCTATTTGTAACAATTTCATTGTAAAAGAATGATTAAAAACTCGAGACACAATTGCTGTAATAAAATGGTATTGGTTTATTGCATTTTGTGCTGACAAATCTATAAAATGGAACGGGTATCGCCAGAAGCCATAGATATAAGCATTTGAAATGTAAGATAAAACTACTTTTTCCTCTTTTTTTATGTACCATGAAACACAATAGAGAATAATACATGTCTTTTTTAAATTTTAGAATATTTAACTTACACTGACACAAAAAAAACACCTCCACACTAACTGTATTTGATTTATTTACACGTAGCCCCCTCCCACCCCTGCCCCCAGCAGTTACAAGTGCACATGTACACACACACTCCCACAGAACTGAAAGGAACACACTACGCTTTACCATAAGACCAGGTACAGTATCAAGGAAGAGTAATGAACGTTTCTGAATTAAAAAATAAAATAAATTCATACTACTGATATTTGATACAGGTATGCTGTATATCATTTATATCTACATCCATTACGTTTGTCAGGCATCCATACAACATGTTTCCCACAACTCCAGTGAATTGAAAACAAACCTGGACAGTGGCAAAATGAATCTGCAGGGAGGTACTGGTTATTCAATTAAATACTATATTGTATATATTTGATTTATATATATATATTTACTATATTTGTAAAAGGCCATAAAGTGTTAAAGGAAAAATATATAAGCAATACCAATCATGTCTGTCAGATACATAAGAAGCCGGCTAACTTCATTTGCTCGTTCTTGATAGGCATTTTTTTTTATAATTGTTAAATGTATAGTTTTGGACAGGCTGCATTTTTCATCAAGTTGCTGATCTGCAGGCATCTCCTCTACTACTTTGGCACTTTCATAGTTTTACCCTTTTGAAACGATATGTTTTATCTAATAAACCTTTAATAATAAACAGTATTTACTTGTATAATTCACTGGAGCACACCATCATTTATGTAGTTAACTGAAATATACTTTGGTAGTCAGTTTATCTGCAGATAATATTTGACACAATGAGAATACCTTGTCAACAAATCCACCATAAAAAATAGAATCTTGTAGTATAATAATAATAATATTCATCTTGTATACAATGATTGGCCAGTCCTAAGGAAAGAAAATCATAGTACTAAAAGAAAAAGTTCCTAATGATAAAAACAAAATACTTTTATACCACAAACACCCAATATATTTTCAATACACCTTGTTCAGGATAATCGCATGCATGCACTGAGTTACACAACATGACTGGGACGTGGCTCTGCTCGCAGCGGCCGACGGCCCCTCGACTTCTTCTCTAACTCCCAGAGAGGACGACTGTGTGAAATGCAATCGGGCACGTCTGTCTGAAAATACACTGAAGGGTTTTCCATCTTATCTCAGCTACAGACTACGTGTGCCCTCTTTCAAAATCTAGGACTTGTTGTTTTTCTCTGTTGGTATCTTAAACAGGACAGCCTCCTCAACCTGGTAACAGATGTGTTTCAGAGCCCTTAATATCCATTTAAGGATGGAGACTGGGTAATGATCACCGGCAAGTTTGTCTCATGCTACAGTTGTGCAGGCGAAGGATCTGATCTAAATCATGGATCAGCTGTGGGGAGAGGGGACGTGCTGGTTTTTGAAAGTAGACCATCAGGTGTCGTGCGAGCAGAGCCATTGCCAGAATTGGAAGCGCGAGTTTTATATTCTTTGATCATTTTTCAGAATTATACTGCAATCACATTTAAAATACACAGCTGGGGTGGATTTAGTGGCTGGGATGGGGGAGGCCGGGGGGGATTTTTTGGGGCAGATGGGGTGAGGAGGAGAGGGGAAGTGGTGGTGGGGGGGGGGAGGAAGTCTGGGAAGGCTCACTTCACAGATTGAGTGACAAGCACAATAAATGTAACTATTTTTCTTTTTTAAAGAAGTTTGGCAAGAGAAAGGAAAGAATGTGATGCATGCTAAAAATGTTCAAGGAAATGCTGACACGAGAAGATGTAAACAAAATCAGCAGGTAGTTTCTGGGTGCTTGCAGTTCAAAACCGCTGCAGGAGGATGGGAGTTAATCATATTTTATAGTCTGGGCTGTCAGACCTCCACGGCTGGCTGTAATACACTCGTGTGCCACCAGAGATCTCTGTGGGGCAAGGGTTTACTGCGCAGACCCCTCCCCCCCCACTCAGTGTCAAAGTGCTTTGCTGTCTCAGCCACATCAGATAAACACTGTCGATCTTTATTGTCCGTGAGACCTGGTGACAAACATTCTGATGAAATAAGTGACACCTCCAGTTGTTTCGTAGAAAATAAACAACATAACAAAATGAAAATCAATGTGAGAACAATATTGCACGTAATCATACAAAACTCTAAGACTTTGCCACAGTGATTGAACAGTGTACAACAAAAGACAACACTAGTCGGTTACAGTGTCTCTGACTTTAGTGATATATATTTACACAGGTGAGATGACCGTTTCCAAGGCCCATCCATTCGCAAACTCAAAAATCTCCTATTACGTTATAAGACTATTGGAGTGAGATTGAAATATAACAAGTAACAATATAGTGAACTCATACTTTTTCTTTTATTTCTTGTTTTCAAGGTCTAGCGATGTTTCCGGATGAGCGGCAAACACTCGAGAGTTCCCAAAAACAATCTGTAACTCAATGAGAACGTTTGGCGACCTTTAACCCCGCTCTGCACCTTGAACATACAAGTCATCACTATAGAAACCACTAAAACAAATATTGCCACATAGTACCATGCAAACAGCAATTATAAAACATTTATAATTCAATAAATAAATTCATTTCCAATAAACTTCTCCAATAAACATCAGATATCTTTTCTTTTGAATCAATTTAAAAGGCTCAGTTGATGCAGGCAATGTTGTGGAGACAATCCCAAAACAGCCGCGTTCTTCAAAAACTGACGTGAACCACTCCCTTTGTCAGAGTAAAGTGTGGCAAGAAAAGAAAGTCTTCATGACTTGGCACCCTTAAATCTTTGAAAACTAGGAGCGGCTGCTTTCTTAAGTATCACAGGTGTGAAAGGTAGGTGTGTTATAAATTTGAAAAGCAGATAAATATTCATATTTAAATATATTTGAGTGATTTTTGTAAGCTTAAAGTAAATCATCTGTTACGTTACTTCAGGGGTTACAGATAGTGGTTTTTAAAAAGAGAGTAAAAGGTGGAGGGTTTGCCCTCAGTTATAATATTGCATCAAGGTATTCAGTGTCTCATAAAACAGAAAGCTAACCCTGTCCAAAGATCTCAGGCCAAATGTCTACAGGTACAGCCTCGCTTTGTTTCCACCGCCACTGATATGTATGTCTATACCCTTTTTCACTTGATCTTTAGTCGTCTCTATTTACAGTACAAATACATCTATAGATACTAGCAGCATTCACAACATATGGTCCGACATTCAAGCAACACTAAAAACATTTAATACTGTTGTAAATAGTTCTAGAAACTAATTTGTTTTGCTTCCTTATATTGTATATACTGTATATATATATTTATACGGTATTTATTTATATTTCTACTACAAGTGCAAATGACCAAAAACAGTTTCTTTAAGAAAAGAAACGGAAATAAAGTAAAGTGACAGCTGTTCTTGGTCAGAGTGAGATGAATCTGGATATTTGTTTTTTTAAAGACTTACGAAATCTACATATACAAAATACATGTGTAAAAAAATAAATAACATGATCACATGAGTCCGGATTTTCAACTATTGCACATTCCTTCCAAGATGCACTTTTTAAATCTAAATATGATTTGCTCACAAGTCATTCAGTCGGGGACATGTGTGGCTCAAATCTGTTTCCAATCTGGAGGATATAAAATCTCAGCGGAGAGTCTACTGCATAGAGTTCAGTCTGGTGGACAACGTGAGTTTCCTAGCTACAGAAGCCATTGTCCTCTCTATTCATTTAGACCTGACCCTATAAACAATCAATCAATAGATGTTCAAAACTTTAGTTAGAGCTGATATACTTTAAATCTGAGCGTCTGAACATCTCTTATTTTATCATCTACAGGGGGCGACTTTCTACCCTTAGTGTCATTCCCATTCTAGTTTCATGTAGACACCTCAGTTTCCCGTTTTTAGCACACTCTAATTCAATCATTTTTGTTCAATATTTCTCTTTGAAAAATACTTTGATATGGCACATTTAATGCATCTAAATGAGGCAAAAACAACAATATATCTTTGAGTGACAATCAAAATGACAACTATTTGATCAATGTGTGTAACTTTGTCTATAAACATAAATACATATTTGTTCTCTAGATGAAAAAATAACATTTAGTGTTTCATTTTTTTTTAAATTCAATGAATTTGTTGAATTCATTGAACTTTCACTTGTTGCACAGTGGCGGACAGTGCAGGTGCAGTGCTTGTCGAGGTTACAATGACAGTTACCATAGTGACAGGAGCCTATGCCATCCAATAAATAAATAAATAGATAAATAAATATTAAAATTCAGCGGTTTTTTCGAGCTGTCCTTCTGAGCGAAGGAGCGTTTTCTCTCCACTAGAAGCTTTTTAGTATGTCACAAAAATACTACACTCATACTGAACAACGCGTCAGAGCTTGTACATTATTTACAGTGATCCACACGAGGGTCGAGGGTGCTGGCAATGATAATCTCCTCGGGGTGTTCGTACGGTCTCCACACTCCGCTGTCACACCAGCCTTCTGGTAGGAAACGCACTTTTTCACAGTTTTATTTACGTGTCAATCTCTACAAACTAAGCTATCCTTGTTGTATTTTTTTTGGCACTAACAGTGGCCACGGGGATGAACAGCCACTAAGAAATGGGTAGAAAGAGAGATGGTGGTAACAGAACACGTGGAGTAGAAACACACACAGTTATAAGGACGCCATGCTAACGCAGTGTTCAGTTTAATACTGCAGGTTTGATCCACGTGCCTTTTCAGTCTTCTTCAAATACCAATGTGAATTTCACAGTTCATACTTTGCGACTTGCTTCTGCTTCCAGCTGGTGGTCTGACCGTGTGCAGCAGTGTCTTTCTGAAAGAGAAATCACATCGCAGCGGGCAGTCGCGCTGTGGGAGGTGTCCGATCACCACAAAGGAAATAAACACACAATCCTACACTGAGCTCATTCAGCCGGCTCTCTACGAACAGGAGCCGCTGCTATGCCACACTTGTATTTGAAAAAAAAAAAGAATCTGCAGGGATTTGAAACAAAGACGGACACAGAGACATGCATATGCGCTCACACCTCAACTAACAACCAACAGCACCACCTCCTCCTTACCCAGTGAATCAATGAGGGTTCCTACAATCGATTACAGACTAGCGAAGAAAATATATATTCTAGATAGTCTCTCAATGGGTCTAGAGCATACAGTAGTTTGAGTAGCTTACTGGACTAGAATGAAGGTTGAGTAGCTCATTGGTCTGCTGGGGTGGAGCGGGGGGGGGGCTGAAGCTGAGCTGGTGTTTGGGTGTGAGAGGACTATCGTACAGAAATAAACGATCAGAGCGACATAATGAAGAAGCTGCGCTGATGACAGAGTAAAGGTGACACAGGAACAGGGCTGGGGGAGGGTGGCAGTGGGGGAGGGGGCTGCTTTTTCAGGAGTAGATGGTGATGACCTCGCGGCCGCCTCCGCGGACCAGGAGGACCCGGTTGAGACCGTCAGTGAGGACCTCGAGGAACTCCATGTCTTGAAAAGAAGTGTTAAAGAAAAGCGACGAAGCACTGGCAGCATAGACGGCAAAACATGGTGGAAGAGAAACGTCAGCAAAGATAGAGGAAGGGAATTCATATAAGTTCAATTATACATTTACAAAAATAAAGGCTATTCTCTGACATTATCAAGTCATTCATTTGTGAGAACAAAAAAACGAAAACTTAAATCAATTGTTCACAATTTTTGGAAACAGATGCTCACTACCTTTCTTGCACATAGTTGGATGAGAAGTCACGTCTGTACGGTAAATATTCATTTAGATTAACAGTCAGGTTAGCTTAGCATAAAACCTGGCAACAGGAAATCAGCAAGCCTTACTTTGTCAAAAAGTACAAAAAGTATTTTTTTTTTTAAAGCTAACCAATTTTGCATTATACCTTGTATTCTTAATCCTGCTGAAGTGTAAGTGTAAACATAAGATGTTTGTTGCATCGGGGGTTATATGCCAGAATGTGGCTGCGGTCAAATATTAAAATCAGGTCCTATGTCTCTTCCAAGGAAAGATGTGAAGGAGAATTCATAAGGACTCAGGAAAGACCCCTGTGGTGCTCCGAGAACACCCTTATGGCGCAGTTCCACTACAGCGCGGAGCTCGCTTTAAGCGTGCCGTGTCGTGCCGTGCCCGTTTTTGGTTGCGCTTCCACTAGGCCTAGTTCCGGCCCGGCCCGGCCCGGGGCCACTTTTTCACCTCTTTTCTGGCCCGAGAAAATTGTGGTTCTATCGAGGCCAACAAACAGGGCTGAGTCGGGCTGAGTATGCTAAACTAGAGAGAGGAGCACTGGCAAGGGGGCTACAACTACAACAAGATGGACATATTTGACCGTGATTTAATTGTAATACACGTTTCAAAATGATGCCGAAGTAACAACATATTGACACCGGTTAGTAAAAACCATGAATTAATGCTTTGTCAAGTCTGCAGACAGACGGCAGGCGAAAAACCTTTTAAAATGCGTGTTTTTCTAGATGGAGATTGGCTAAGCTAACGCAGTATATGCTCCGACCGTCCACACTCACAACAACGGCCTATACAGACATAAATAAAGCAGCGACTGTATTCACCATGACACAGGCAGTCTGTGGTTTGTACTTGTTTAACTTTTGTCTAGTTTCTGAACATATATGAGGAGCTGTGAGCTCTGAGTGCTAACAGCTAACGGCTGTGTTGTGTTTCTGGGGTTCTCATTGAAGATGACGTCACGGCTCCGCCTACACTGCGTTACTATAGTAACTACCCCAGTTCCTAAACTGTAATGGAAGCGCAGCATGAAGTGAGTCGGCCCTGTTAAGGCCAAGCCGTACCGAGCCGTACCGAGCGTGGCCGAGGCCGACCGTGTAGTGGAAATGCGCCATTACACTAGGTTCTGTGATTTTACGACGCTGGATGTTATTGACGTCTGCCTGCTGTGTCTCTTTAAGAGCTGCTTGGACAGATGTGAGTTGTATTGACCTTTTCATCAATTGGCAAGAAAGCATATTTTATTGTCCAAGATGTCAAACTACTGCTTTAGAACGCACTGTTTGCATTAAGATACATACATATTAAATATTATGTTAAAAACCACAATATAGCTGTGCATTTCTATCAATACCAGTCAATGTCTTAAAGTCATCTCCCACTGACAGACTCAGAGACATATTTCATTATTAGTTTTATACTAAACTGTAACTGAAAAAAATGCAGTGGTCTAAAAAAGTAATTAAACATAACAAATATATCCTGTAAATGTTATTTAAAAGATCTATCTTTTGCCTCCTACTGTAATCCTAATGAGTTATTTGCCTGCATTGCCGTGTTTCACACATTTCCTGATAGCAAATCCCAGCTGTTTTCCTCCTGAATCCAAGTCAACTAACGTACCATGTGTTATTTAAAACAGAAAAATATGGTTTTTGTTTCCTGAGGCCTTGAGGCTATTGTGATTCTATCTGTAGAGTGCTACCAAAAGCTTTTCAACACCTGAATGTCAAATTAATTAAAGTGGATCTGTTTAATTATATTTACACTGACCCCCCCCCCCCCCCCCCCTCCTTCAGTAGCACATGGACTGGATGTTCATTTGAAGGAACCTTCTTGGTGTTAGAGTTGAAAACCGATGATTTAATAGTCCTAAAAGGAATCCTTCATATAATGAATCTTTGCTCTTTCCTGGTATTAAGGTGTTTTTCTCCCCAATGTGTTTAAGCTTTCCTCATTTCTTGTAAGTATTGAGTGTAGTTTTCAGAAATAACATGCGCTAATACAGCTTTACCTGACTGAACACATCCTACTTCTGTCTGTGTGAAGGATACAGTTCTCGTCCCCTGTCCGGTTCTTGGGAGGCCCGGGCATGTTGAGGAGGACCAGCTTGGCCTCTGAGGACTTCTTGATGATGACCTCATTCAGCCGGAGCGCTGTGTGCATACGCCGCACATTGGACTGGTTCCTGAGCGAAGACAGAGCAGCAGAGAGTGAGGGTGCGTTTGTTTCACGGTGATGAACAGCACGTTACCAAGCACTTTGTGATAGTGGGCTGGTCGAGGTGAAGGATGCTCATTCACACACAAGTACTCCTTCTTCTTCTGCTCATGAGGCTAACGTCAGGATGAGATGTGAATGGGCTGAATGAACTTTATTGGGACTTCAGTACTTACAGGTTCTCCCACTCGCTGCAGCGTGGCAAGAAGAGAAATACATGATTATCAGAACTATGTTGGAAATGTTGTTCAGGTCTAGTCCACAATCATACAGGTAAAACATAAACAGTCCTCTTTGATAGTGTTTATGTGAGTTTGGACTTTTTACGCCAGTGTGCCCGGTTTTCTCTTTTGTTAGTCACTAATGAGGAGACATTGTGTGCTATGGTGGAAGTGGAACAAATATGCTGGTTCTAACCTTACTAACAAGTTAACAGAACTAAGGGTTACTCTTCAGTTTAAGGAACAGATGGGTCAAAACGCATCATAAAGGGGACCCTAACCCTAACCCTAGTTGCTACATTATACACCAGGCCCAAAGAAAACGTTGGTGGTTTTGGAAAAGACCTGTGTTTGTGTGTGTGTGTGTGTGTGTGTGTGTGTGTGTGTGTGTGTGTGTGTGTGTGTGTGTGTGTGTGTGTGTGTGTGTGTGTGTGTGTGTGTGTGTGTGTGTGTGTGTGGCCCAAGCTGCCCTTCACAGCCTTCCAAATGTTTTATTTTTATTTTTCCTTTGAGTTTCGTATTTGTAAAGGGTGAGGAGAGAAGCAGTAAAAACCCTTGTAAATGTGGACTTGGCCTTAATCGACCTAATCCAAGCTAATAAAAGAGAAAATATAAATCTCTAAACAGCTCTCTGGCAGACCTCTGCGGTGCCATATTGTAGAGATAAAAGTCTCAGGGACCTTTCTGTCGGGAACAAGAAGGCCCTCACCTTTCCAACAGGTAAGGGTTGAATGATTCACAGCACTCACGGCTTCATGTTGAAGATGTCTTTGATGCCCTCTGGTGTCGCGGCGCCGGGCGGCTTGGCGGGCTCGCTGTCACACTTCTCAGTCCAGGTCCTTTGGACCTGCTCCCCGGGGCTCTTAGCCCCCTCTGTGGGGGTCAGCGAGGTGGCCGGGGTGGCGGGGGTGGTCGGGGTGGTGTTGTCGTGGATGAGCTGGACCTGCGCAGGGGGGGAGACAGGGGAAGAGGCCGACTTTGACTATGAGACGAGAGGAAGAGAGGACGGATGTGGATTCACATGAACAATACACGCAGGAGTCACGGTTGAGGTGGAGATGTAGGAATGCAGGTCAAAGTCACAACAAGCCACAGTGTTTGAGAGAGGGAGAGGGGAGAGAAGTGCCATTAGGGAGCCTTACATATCATGTGCTGTCTTTTCTAATAACATGGGCTGGGATTGAGGCATAAAAAGAGTTCATCTGTATCACAGTACCTTATAATCAACCAGCAAGTGATACTAAAAAAGAGACTAAATCTTCTCAACTATGCTGCATTCAAATCCATTTTTTATAGTATTACTATACACTCGACCATATATCTGACATAAATGTCAAATTATTCATTTATAATATACAGTTGCAGTATTTCTATGACACCAATTTGTATTTATGGTTGCCTTTTTTTAAATGTTGCCGGAAGGGAAATGTAAGATTTTACCAGAGTCCTAAAATGATTATATCTTAAGGAAAATGATGGCAGCCTAAAACACAATTGAATTAAAAGACAGAGAGTCACATTCATCAACATCATAGCCTGCCCTAAACCAAGCATGATTGGCTATACAACGGTCACATGACAAGAGCTGCTTGAACATAAATGTAGAATCCATATTTTGCTATCTTGAAATTAATTATAGAACAACTTACAATTGTAAGCATCCCAAAAGGATAACAAATAATATAGTTAATGCTACCTACTGATGTACGTTGTTCAGAGGGAAAAATGATGGTACAAATACAATAATTATCTTGCAATGCTGGTGATTGTGTGTGTTCTACTAGCTTATCCAGGTTTTGTTTACCACCTGGTTTTATCTTCCCACTTCAATCTGTCACTTTGTTCCTTCGTGCTCGTTCTGTGTTAAATGGCCTTCACGTGGCCACACAAACCAACTGTACTCTTCAGAGTGAGGTCAGCGATGCTCTACCTCTTCCTCGGGCTTCTCCTCCTTGCTGTCTGCGGACGGCTCCTCGGTCACACTCAGCTGGGTTGTCACGGCGGCCGGGTTCTTACGGCGGATTGACCCGCGGGATGAATCAGTGATACTCTGGATCTGTGAAGATACAGAAGAAGTGAAGCATGGAAGGATATAGGCAGAGATTTAGTTAGAGAAGCACGATAGGTCAGGTCAGTGTTTTTTCACTGTGAATCATCAATGACAGAAAGAAGTGAGGATTATTTCACTGCACTCATTTCATTTATTGATCTGGACAAACAGGCAATCTTGGACGAGCTAAGAATAGTAACACTGAGATCAATATATTATTTTCCGCATCTATCAAAACACAACATCTGTGTTTCAGAAAAGCAAAGCTGTGGCTGTAGTCCTCTTTAATAGAGAGAGTAAATATGTCCCACTGCTCCGATCAAACCGTAGATATGCTTTTGTCCTCAGGGGCTTATCTGTCCAGTCCACTCAAATCACACAGAGCCACGCCAAGTCCGCCCGTCAAGTCAACTCAAGTTTATGTGTACGTCTTCAAGTGCATTTCAAAACAAACACAACTTTGACATAAGCAAACTTTCCTACCTCTCTCTCACGCTCAGTCTTGCTCAGGTTGATCTGTTTAAGCATCTGCGATCGTTGTTCCATCACCAGGGTCTTCTCGTAAGTGTAGGCTGAGATGTCGCTGTCATGCTAAGATGAAATGGAAGGATACATGTTTTATTATTAATGTTTTTATATTTATTTTTTACCAGCCAAATCCCTCTTTGTCTTGGTGAATCCTGGAGGAGGTTAATGTGAAGCTTAAAAATAAACTAGTTTAAATGACGTGTCGACCGACCACGTCTCAAAGCAAATGTTTCTATCTGTTGTGAAAGGCTGCAACTGAAGGCAGGGTGAACAGTCTGCCTTCAGCTGCTAGAGGGGGCAAGAGGGAATAACGCTGCACACTTTAGGACAATATTTCCTTACAGGCATTCATGTTATTGCACTCGGTTCTACGCACAAAAGGTGACGCAAGTAATTCTGTGAAAAATACAATTACATTACATTTCTCCTAATTCCAATGTGGGTAAGATGATGAAGAAGGATGTTTTGCAGGCTTCCTTTCACCATCGGACAAATACTTCTTGTTCACTGGAGGAACAGTCCTGAGACATGGCTGGGTACACTGACTATGTAACCAGCTGAGTTGCACTGAGATTCAAGCGCCTTTTGATGCATTCTGATATAAGTGGTAAGAGATATTTAAAAAAAATCTGGGTTAAAACTCACCATTTCTACAACTTCCACCAGGGCTTCGATACGGAGATGATAGAGGAAGGTGGTCAGGTCTTTCTTCATCTGGATGCTGTTGTCGTCCAACTGGGCCACGGTAAAGATGCGTATCTTGCACTTCCTCCAGACCTGAGCGGGAAAAAACGACTGCTTAAACATCCAGAATATCTTTCAAACGTTCAAGTAACACTTCTCAATATTATTCTACATATATGGAGCATGAAACATTTTTCATGAAGTGTCTTTACTTGTTAATACTGTACTACACTCTAAATACTTTACCAGTTTTGTTTGTCACAGTACCTTGTGCTGTTTGAGAAGGAAGGGCAGCAGCATGAGCATGCCTCCATCATGGACGATCCACCAAACATCGATGTGGCCCTCGGTGAAGCGCTCTCCATTGGATGGGAAGGCCGCGATGTTCTTCGGGACGAGCATAGCCAGGCTAGCCGCGGTGGTTTCTCTGACCAACTCTGCAGAGGTGAGGGAGGCAGAGGTGTTACAGATACATATTCTACAAGCTGTTACCAGGTCACACAAAGTTGACACACAATTTAAACTTTATGAAACATAATAGTAAGGTTGATGAGTCAAGAAATATAGAAAAAGACAATTAGTGCTTTGTCGACTTTACATTTAATGGTGTACGGTGCTCTGAGTCTTTTCAGGAGTATGTACTTGATATATATAGTTGTCTGTTAGACCTGGTCTCCATCAGCAAATGCTTCTTTGAGCTGCTAGGGTTTTGTACTTGCTCAAATGCTTCAGCAGTGCACATGCCGGACATAAAAGAGCTTGACACCTGCAGTTTATGTTTAAAAAGTGCACCACTCTAATAGACTATCCTAAGATCGGCCTTAGGCAGAGAAAAGGCTTTTAAATGTCAGACATGCTTATTGGTTTATCTGGTTTCCCAGTGACCCACCAACAAAGTTCCTCCAGGTCTGGTGCTCATCTCCCTGCCTCCAGTTGCGGGGCCAGGACACCAGCACAGCGTTGTGTTTCAGGCCCCCCAGCCCACTGGCCTGGAGGAGGTGGGAGGTGGCATCGCGCAGGTTGGAGGACACGGTCACTTGACAGAAGCCCTTCACCTTCTCGGTCTCCATCAGTTTACGCAGCGCCTGGAGAGGAAGATGGAGAATGAATGTGCATGGCCTCTAAAAGACAACAATATCGTTTTAAGATTCAAACTTCAGGGCTGCCTACCTGCTCTGCACGCTGGGTCTGCTCCTGGTTCTCCAAGTAGGATCCCACTAGAGCCGTCCCGACGATGGTCAGACCTTTGCCTGCCTTCAGCTGGTTGGTGAGAGAGAGCAGACGAGGCTGCTCGATGTTTTGCTCCGAGTCTGTACTAACCAGCGTCAGCAGCTGGGGCCTGGAGAGAGGGGAGAGAAAGTGAAACAAGAGAAAGAAAAAAGTCAAGAGGAGAGAAATAGAGGGCAGAATCTAATAAAGGTGTGATGAAAGAAATGAGTGGGCCAAGTAGAAGCCTTGGAGGGAAGAAGAGATGGAGAGAAACAGCATGAAAGGTTGACATGTTATAATGAATTATTGTTGTTTGACAGCTGTGGTGAGGAGAATCACATTTACTGAGGCAATGGCTGAACTGTGATTTCTATGTTGATTAAATAAAACAACACCATGTGTGACGTTGTGTTTGTACCTCCAGTTCTTGGTGTGCGGTTGACCTTCCTCCAGACGCATGAGAGCGTAGCGTGCGGCGCTCAGAGACAGACCTCGTATCCCATCCCCCCACTCCTTCTCCGCACTGTGACACAGACAAGCGCCAGTCCATCAATATTCTTCAATCAAAACGTGATCAAAAGTTTAGCAGCTCCCTTCTAAATGATAAAAGTGACAGTGATGAAACTGAAACAAATCTACTTTCAGATGGCGGTTTGACATAACGCAATGTGATAAAGGATTAGCCATCACCGGCAAATGTCATGATGAAATGATGTCACTCACCACAGGGAGTCACAGCACTTACATACTCAGTGCGCATGGGGAATACGCATTTTCAAATGATTTCAATAATTAGATTATTATATTAATATTTCAAAGATATCAGGCTTTCTTTGCTAATTTGCCGATGTATTTGTCTGCAGCAACAGTTATTATAATATATGTGTCAAGGTGGAATCTGCTGCAGCAGGAAGTGATCTATCTCCTGTGTAAACTAAATCCTGAAGTTCAGATGCTGTCTTTTTGACAAACAGCCCCTTGACAGCTCTGCTTCACCTGAAAAATACTACTGAAATGAACACAAACAGCTACAAATAGACGGAAAATTATAATTTTTTGAACCCTCAACTATGAAACATCACTGAAAGAGATGCCAAACTCTGCAGGCACATAGTTTGTAGTCACTACGCATCATTTTGAGTCACAGGATCTCATTCCTATGTGGAGGCGGTGAGGGGTGTTTTTCTAATAGTGCCTCTGTGATGATAGGGAGGATGTCATGAGTAACACATGGCATCTATCATTTCATACAGTATATCAATAGGCTTGCTAGGACATCAGTACTCTACTGTTTTTATGCCACAATCTGTAGAACTAAAAGCAAAAGCAGTCATTTTCCTTAAAGCTCCTAAAAAATATTGATGGTGTGGATTTAGTGGCAGAAAGCTCTTAAAATACAGCGCACACACACACACACACACACACACACACACAAAAAACACTCGAGCAAAACCAAAAGGCAGCCGGCGAATCCAATCTCTCCTGGGGTTGCGCTCCACTCACCCTGCAAACTCGATATACTTGTAGATGGAGCCGGCAATTAACATGGCGATGATGGCGTAGTACCAGGAGCAGATGAACATGAGCGTGAGACACAAGCTCATCCCGAGGAAGGACAGAGCCCTGTAGAGACAGTAGAGACACACAGAAAGTAAGACAGAGGCCCGGGCACACATTTAAAGTATAAATATCCAGCTGCTCTCTGTCTCAGTAGCGTCTGAACTGACCAGTGGTAGAACTTGAAGCGCGGTCTCCAGTTTGGAGTCCTTAGCAACGTCTGCAGAGCGCAGGCCAAGTTCACAAACATGTAGCACATCAGGAAAAACCTGCAGGACACAAAGGGACACAGTTAAAAACACAACTCTTATATCCTGTGACCAGAGGTGGGAAGTAGTGGAGTACAAATACTTTGTTCGTTTACTTAAGTACATTTTTCAGGTATCAGTACTTTACTCCACTACTTATTTTTCTGACGACTTTTTACTTTTACTTCTTACATATTAAACACAAATACCTGTACTTTCTACTTCTTACATTTTCAAAACAGGCTGGTTACTTTAGTTTGAATGTGTGTTTGGTGGCGTGATCATTATTATTTAGAGTCATTGCGTGCCTATTGATTTTAACACGATCCTTGTATCCATCATTTCCTGGTCTTCTCTAAAGAAGAGGGACCGATGAAAACTTTGTCATGTTGCCGTTGTTCAGCATGGAAACATTCATTAGCAAACAATGATATTATTGTTCTATTAATATAAAGGGAGGTCAGGTACTCTTTAAAACAGCTGGTAGTTATGGGTACTTTTTACTGAAGTACATTTTGAAGCCTATACTTCTTTACTTTTACTTGAGTTAAGAAGTTTAGTCAGTACTTGTACTTTTACTTTTAAACACGAGTATCTGTACTTCTACTTGAGTAAAGGATGGTGGTGTGTACTTTTGCCATCTCTGCCTGTGACATTATAGGGATATCAACACGACTATAGTCCAAAGAGTATCCTGTCTCGATATCCGTCACATTCACTGAGATTCACTGTGTCACTAGAGCAGTAGAGCGGCATGCCCTTTTGTCTGATGAGCTAAATCTGAGTCGATAAAATGTGCCATTTGCAACATTTAGGGAATAGCAAGGGAACTGGCTGCTCTGAAATCTCCCAACGTCGGTTTACAAATGGCAGTGAATTCAAAAGTTCTCACATGGAGAGGATGGGAGCCACAGCATCCAGAGAGGCGATGAGGATGCCGATCTCGCAGATACAAACGGTCAGCAGGAGAGACCATGTGGGCTCTCCGTTAGCCTTTGCATGGCCAAAGATCTGCGGGGACAGCACAGAGAAATCTTGCACATTAATAAAGGAAAGGACATTTGGTTTAAATGGAAGAATATAACCCCTAAAAACTTGAATTAAATGTATTACTGTATGTCAACAGATTCCACATGACTGTATTAGCTTAGCTGGAAGCAATAATATTAGTTTAAATTCAAATGGTTCAACTTAATATTATTGCTTTCAACAAACCTAATGTGACATTTTTGACATAATACATATAATTAAAGTCAATGTTTCAGTTTTTTCAGTGCTCAAATCGCACAACCAATGGTTTGGAGATGTGAAAATCAGTATCACTCTCATCTGTGATTGGTCTACCTGGCCGCTAGCTATACCAACTGAGCTATACAGTGGCCCTGAAATAATAGATGTTGTCTGACCTGTCTGACCTATATAACCTACTTGCAATATCTTCGCGGACCACTAGGGGGGCCGCGGCCCACAGGTTGGGAACCGCTGCTCTACATGTACCTTGAGACGATTGTTTGTGTTAATGTCTTATCTGATAAATGAAAAAATCTATGAATAAATAAATTAAGAAAGTTCTGTGGTGTTATTGAGTAGACAGACTGACCCGGAGGGCGGGCACGATGCCGTCCTTGGCGATGGCCTGCATGAGACGAGGGGCCCCCGTCAGACTCTGAAGTCCCGCCCCACAGGTGGAGAAGAAGGAGCCAATAACGATCACCCATGGTGACGGCCAAGCCAATGTGCCAATGACCAAATTCCCGTGGACTCCCTCTCCAAACCTATAGGACACAAGAAAGGGTCATTTTAATGCATTTTTATTTTGTATTATTAACAGCAAGCATATTATTAGAAGAATAATCAGTTGATTCAAATTTCTTCTCCAATTGAAGGACCTACTTGTCCCTGAGGACGACTCCCTCGATGCAGGCACCGAACAGAATCACACTGGTCATGTCTGAGCAGTTTTGGATCAAGAAAGAATTTCATAGACAGATGTATATTTGATTAGCTAGCATGAATGTTCCTTAGATGAGACCTGTTCAGTGATTGACAGGATTTGATTATAAGAATTATAAACCTTTCCCTTGAAAGATGCACTCAACGATCTGATAAACCAATCAACAGTGTTTGCTGAGAAAAGACAGCAATCGATTTTGTTTGGGATAATATCTCAGAGATCAATGACATTGTAACTAATATCCTTCTGCTTTATTAACTCGTGATTGCATAGGCAGTCCACTGATGCGATTAGAGGTCCTAATCAAATTGGTGTAGACCCCAAGCTGATTACTGAGATACATGGAGGAGATTCAAAATGGCTGCTTCAGAGTAAGAGGCCTGTAATCACATCTGCCTGTATGTATGCTGAAGCACGGCCAAATAATGTTTCAAATGACAACTTTTTTTTAATGCCATAACTGTGCAAGCATCTTTTACATATGTTCACACCTCTTTGTATTTATACTTAAAATATACATTAAGTTTATTCATTTGCAATTACACCTACATATATATTTAAATGTATGTTATATGTTATATGTTATGCCCTTATTTGAATTTATTTTGTTTTTACTTGTGTGATATTGTTTTTCTTTCTTATAAACATTTAATAAGCGTTGTTGGTGGGAGCCTGAGACTGAGAGTATTAAATTAAATAAAAGAGTGTCACCGTCATCACAGGAATACTTTGTGCAAATCAGAAAGATAATGCAAACCCATAATCAAAATCACTCTGGTATTAAAGCAGTTATGGCCTTTCATGGTTTAAAGTAAAGTGTGTTGACCTTTAATTATGGAGCGCCCTGCCGGCCAATCAGTGTGATTTCGTTACAGCAGACAAGCACAGAAGTGCATTATCGCTTCAAGTCCTGTCAACATGGGATGGTGGTGTCTGACAAATCATCGCAGAGCTTACAACACTGTTTGAGTGGATATCTGGCCACAATTATTTTAGGGCTTTTAGATGTCTTATATGACTACATTCACTTTGCAAATGCTTTATACTGAACATACTTTAAATATTTTGTGAAAAAACCATGTTATTCCATTTTTATTCTTGTATATCTCTCTGCACTTTTAGGCTTTTTGCACTTGTGGTTAGATGATTCTTGATACTTTTTTGTCATAGTACTTTCTTGTTTTATATATAACTTGTAATGGCTACTCTGGGCTGAACAGAGGGTTTTTAGAAAACATGATATTCCACTGATTTAATATTTGGCAATATTCTAATTATTTGAATTGGGTTGAAAACTAAATGTTTTTGAAATTGGCCGGTGCAGGGACACGTGTCAACCTGCAGGGGGCAGTAGTGAGAGGATACAGACAAAGGAGGTGGTGGTGATGGCTGCAATGGTTCCAATGGGGATGGACTTCTGAGCGTCACGCAGGTCTCCGGAGCGGTTGGAGCCGGCCATGATCCCTGAGCACAAAGTGGAGAAGCAAACATTTGAACTAGGTCAACAACAAATACAAACACAGGGCAAGTTAGAAGCTGCAGAATAATAATAAGTTCATGTACATTCCTAACATGAAAATCAGAAACCACAAAATGAAAAAAATCCATATAAGATTGAGAGTTCCACCTGTCACAGAGGGGAAGTAGATGCCGACGAGCAGCGTGAAGAAGCTGCCGATGTCGGCCAGCACGTAGCGGTTTGAGTTGGTCAGAGGGTCGTCCTGGTCCTCTGCTGACTCCATGTTTTTCCTGGCGATCAGGTCCCCCTTCTCATAGTAAGTCCCAAACATGTTCTCTGGATGTGGGACAGGGAAGTATTGAAGTAGTTAGGTTTTAAATTTGGATCATAGAAACATTTTTTTTAATTAAAATGTAATTAACTTAAATCAGGGTCAAATTATTTTTAATAAACTGAGCTCAAATTGTATTTCAGTGTTGACGTGAGCATTGCACACCAATGTGATTATCTTGGGTTCTCCTCACTATATATTTCCCTGTAGTATTCACACACCAATCATTTTCGTATTTCCTTCCATGTCGCAATGTGACTGTAAATGTATGTACATTTGTAATGTATTTGTGATTGCATTCTGAGTGGATGTGGACATGCTCTCCTCCATGAAGACATTACAAAAGAGGCAAACAGTAATAATTTGGTTAAACAAATAAGAAAAGGCTTTTTGATAAAACAATTAAACATGAAAACCTCAAAGGGGGACTCTAAACCATTGACTCTGATTTGCAAACATGGATCCTTAAAACAGGGCTAACTGTTTCCCCTGTAGTAACTACTAGAGAGGAACGAGGTTAACCGAGCTCTGTTTTCTGTAGCCTCAGGTGTGCGGTCGCCCAGGGCGGACAAACTGCTGCTACGGTCTGTTACTCGCTTCTGTTGGTGTTAGTGAAACAATATCACTTTCTAAATACCCTGAAAAGCTTTCAGGCTCTAGGATAATAAATATTTATATATATTTTTTCTATATATATGACATAGAAATGCATTAGTATCTAATTTGGCAAATTCAGTAAATCAATTACTCTAATGCATATTGTGAGTTGAAGCGGTGCAACCTGTGACAGCTTTCTTTTCATAATTGCATTATTCCTTATTTACTCCTAATGCCCCCTAAAGAAATTCTTCAGGGGATTATAATGGAAACAGTTTTACGTTTCCCCATCTGACGACAGACAAAGCACATAGCAACAATCTGCTTTAAGACCACCTTTTGCACGTCAGGTCACTTTAATGTAAGCATTTTTACTTTGACGAATAAACTAAACTAATCAATTATCCATGACTACAGCATATTAACAAAAATACATAGGCTACTGTACATATTTGTGTACTTAAAATGGGCATGTGCACACTGGTGGTTGTAATAAAGTACATTTACTTGAAGCACTGTACTTAAGTACACGTTTGAGTTACTTGTACTATGAGTATTTTCATGTTATGCTACATTATACTTCCACTCCACCTCATTTTGTTGGCAGTAAGTACAGTTAGAACCTTTACAGATGACTAGTTATTTCAAAATATAAATCAACTTATAAATAAACATTGACGTAGTTAAAGACATGAGTAAAGTAAATGAGCTCCACCTTTATCAGCTGTGATAAAGTATATGATACTGAAATGGCTTAATATGCATAATTGCTACTTTAGGTATATTTTGATGCCAACACTTTTGTTTTTTTAAATGATGGAAGATATTGAATGCAGGACTTATACTTGTACAGATTATTTTTTAAATATAGTATTGCTATTTTATGTAGGTAAGAGATCAGACTATCTCTTTCCTCTTCCAGGTTTGTTGTTTTGTGTGCTCACTGCGTGCAAATGGTACAAGGCAGATCCAGACCCACCTGCCAGGACCCCGCTGGTGACCCCCGGGATGCCCTGGACTTGAGATATATTGTTGGCTACGAAGTACTTGTCGCAGGTCGCGTTGAGGAGCGGTGAGTCACAGAACATGCGCCACAGCTGGGTGGTGACCGTCCCGTTGGCTGACTCGATGGTCTTAGCACACACATCGAAGTTCTTCGACACCAAGGTGCGGTTGCCCAGGAGACACACACTGGAGGGAAGAACAAGTAACACAATAATACAAATAATTATAACAACTACATTAATAATAGTAATAATAATGATAATACTAAAACTACTACTACTATAAATGGGTGACGTCTGGTAATAAAGCACTACAGATGTAAATAGTAAAAAGTAACTAAAATCATTTTGATATAAAAAATTACACATTTATAATTGAGCTTCAAACAACATTATTCTCTACAGGAACCAAGTAATTTTTCAGGTCAAAACAAGTTCAGACCTCTGAGCTTAAAATGTACTAAAATAAGTTTAAAAATGGACGGCTATGTTACCTGTAACTTTTGTATTCATCAGCATCTTAATGACTTTACCTCAGTGTTTACCATGATGAATGAAAACCAAACCAAACCAATCCTTTTCAGCTTTCCAATCAATAGAGGTGGCTTTCTAACTTCCTATCAATATAATGACAGGTTATATAAATGTTTTCTGACATCAGGTGTGTATTGCATCAGTCTGATGTATTTTCTTCGCCTCGTAGTTATGGTTATGGTTATGTTTTTTCGGCTAAGCTAATATTCTGTCGGACCGTCTTGGTTGGCTTACGGGAATTCTGGAGGATCCCATCCGGTATTGATGACCCCGGCGTACACGGCCAGGATGGAGAGGATGACGCAGGCCAGGAAGACCAGGGCCAGCTTGTTGACGTACTTCACTCCGACAAACACCACCGTGGCCATGGAGAAGAGCAGGATGGTGCCGTACACCCGCATGTTGTTCAGCAGGGCGGCCTCCGCCTCGGCCCCCTCCAGACCCTCCAGGGGAAAGATGGCTGCTTTGGGTGCTATGTAGATCTGAAGTGAAAGGGTTATGATATTAAAGACATTCTATTAAGACTTACTCTATTGATCCCTGATTGGGACATTCTTCGTCACAGCGGCATGTTAAACCGAGGCATTGCACATAATGTGGAAATAAAAAGAGTAAAAATAAACAAACATAAAATAGAAACATCTCAAAATAGAAATAAAACAGAACTCAAAAGTAAAATACATACATGTTCACAGTGAAAGATAGAAATCTGTAGACTATCTGTTGAATAAACGTTATGAAGGGCCAAGTACAGCTAACAAAATGTAAAAGTAAGATATTATTTACAGTAAGTGTGCAAGGAATAGCATATTCAATTAAATATAAAAGTGAAATGTACAGTGTGAAGAAAATCGAAATATTATTCTATATCACCGCTAAATATCGAGTGATATCACACCTGCTATTTTCGCAAAAAAGTTCCATACAATCTCATCATTGCTCAAGGGCATCTTGGTGTTAGTTGTTTGGGGAGTGTTACTCATCCACTTCCCCTCCTCGCGCTTTCCCCGGCCTGTCTGGGGATATAAACTGGCAGATCTGAGGTCACAAGCCTCTAGCTCGCTGTTTACTGCTGAATTAAATAAACCTCAGCCTGGGTAAAAAAAAGAAAAAAAGAAGATGAAATATAATAAAAGAGAGGTGAGAAAAGCGTGAGGTGAGTGAGGAGGACAACTCTGTGAAGTGTGAAAAACATGTGATGCTCACATTAACAGTCCTCTCCTGGAGCTCGGAGCAGCACACAGAATACCGCTCTGCTTTTTTGATCCTGCCTAATTAAAGAACTCAAGCATGGTATTAATATTCTAAATTAACTGCCATTTTACTACGGGTCAATCTAAGAATAGTGCCATCATATATAACACGGTAAAACCCTTAATTAGCCTGTCATTATCTGTCATCAGCTTATGATGATTCATGCAGAAAGCTGTTACATAAGCATGGGAATTTCTCCCTTCTTTTTTAGTTTTAATAATCATCTGGTTGAATCACCATGAACAGGAAATAAAATTGGACGAGAACAAGTAGGGAGTCAGGGCTCATTTTGGTCATTTGGCTGGAGAAAGTGATCTGAACAGCGTTATCAGAGGCAAACAAATCTCCTGCTTCACTGTGAGCTGTGCATGCTTCCTAAAATAGCAGCCTCAGTTTGTGTTCTCGGCCTGGGTGGAAGGATGAAACATATTCAAATCAGTCTTCTCCAGATCCGCTCCTTACAATTCTGCAGGGATTGTTATTTTACAATGGAAACTAAGCCAGCTTTGACCCAGAAGACAGACTTAACCTCCAGGCATGATCAAACTCTGCCTATCCATTAGGAGGCATCCAGAAGGAGAATAACGGAAGAATAAGAAAATAAAAAAGCACACTCTGGTATGTTGATAACTGTCGACTAAAGTGAGAGCTGTTTCAAGGAATTGTCTTGTTTCTCCGCCAGAGTCTTGATCGCTCGCTAATGCAGCATTTGCATAATTACCCAATAGCCCATGCATGGGGGACTGCAGTGGAATGAGTTAGAATAAAAAGGCAGAGGAGGAGGAGGAAGAGGAGGAGGAGGAGGAGGAGGAGGAGGAGGAGGAGGAGAGGGATGAAGATCAAGATGAAAGATCCCTGCATTTCATCAACTGCTCAGAATTCACGTTGAAGAACACACAGCTTGATAAAAAAATAGCTTCAAAGCTTTTTTGTGGAGGGAAATACACTGAAGGGGAGCTCTATTTGTAGGCATGTGGCACATAGTGATGCACTGCTAGGTTTCATTTTGATTGAGAACACGTTTTCTTTCCACATTTGTCAATACACTTGAATGATATGTGCATGTGGCCGCTGCAGGAGCTGCACTGCATTCGGATGTAATGGATTACAGTCGTATGAAATACTGAATTGTATACTGCTCAATTAGACTTTGATAACAACCTATTGAACACAATCTAAATCTTTACAATTCTAATCATGTGTCTTTCTTCTACTTGGTCAGATATCTCTAGTTGTAAATTATTTAGTTATACATGCTTAAACATATATCTATGGATGTAATGACAAACGTTAAAGGAAAAGCTCAATACCTATAAGCTTTAGATGAGTTCGATGAATAGATTGATACCACTTCCATGTATTAGAAAGATGATGAGGCTTTCCCCCCACACAGACACAAAGCATGAGAAAAGAAAAGAAAGAAAAATGAAAAACCCTTATTCTCAGGAGAAATCTTTGATTGGTTTTTGAATTCCTGTCGTGCTGGTGTTGTTTGGCCTCATATCATTGAAGCATGTCCTATACTGGGACCTGCTTTCGACCATGAAACCAAATGTTTTAGGTATTACAAACATGATTTAACCTAAAGTCAATCATGGTGTCCTGTACTTGATGTTTAATGACTTCACCTTCCTGCTGAAATAAGCTTATGTTACAGTGATATCGCTCTGATACAATTGTCCATTTATGAAGTTGCAGAGTTCATTGCAGCGGAAGAAAAACTGTGATTTGAGTGGTCATACTCCACCAAGCTGGCAATGCCATCCAATCATTTACTCTCCTGCTCATTATGGTCTGGCAACATCATGAGTAAAATGACTTGAAATGGATGTCATTTCAAGTATGCTGTACAAAGAGGACCTCCTTTACTCACACTTATATTACCCTCACTGCACTGTTAGTGGCCATTGCTGCTGATTTCCAATCTGAGAAAACATGGCAGCTTTCCTGGAAGTGTTGTCAAATCTATAACCAATTGTTAACCACTAAGAATATGTTTAAGATGGAAAATGCACCATTTTATATCTACAACGCCTTATTTAGACTTACTTCACCTGGTGGGCTTAATCTTTAAATTGTGTGACTCGCATACAAATGTAACTCTTAACTTTGTGAAGATAACGCAGATGTCTTGATGAAGGAAACAGGATTGTTCTCACCAGGAGGAGCTCGATGGCCCCCAGGATGTACATGGCTCCGGCGAAGGTTGTCCCCAGATAGAAACAGATCCCCACCGCACCCCCAAACTCAGGGCCCAAGGACCGGGATATCATGTAGTAGGCGCCTCCGGCTGCACACAAACACAACAATGTTAACAGACATACTGGTATGTGTGTATGATTCAAGTTGATGAAATATACTTTTGAATGTGCAACTGAATGAATTACTCAATGTTCACGATATACATTTGTGATGAGCTTTTTAAATGTTGTGTATTTCAATGAATTACATTTTTGTGCAATGCACTTTTGAGACACACATTAACTAGTTGAATTGAAGTAGATATTTAAGTGTCACAACTTTTCAAATGACAAAAAATCATCAGTAGCATAAATGTAATGACGTCTGACAATTGTTATATTTATAAAACGACAAACAAGTATTCAATACATATCAAAGAAAAAGCAACTGCAAGTTTGTGAAGCTATCACAAGTACATTTGACTAATTCTTTTTTTAATTGATTGTCATACTAATTTATTTTAGACTGAAGTATTTGTGTAACTGCACAACCTTGCTTTTGTCATATTGCTCTCCAATAGTTGACATTTTGGTTATTCTGCTCCTGTGACTTATTTTTATCATTGTGTTTATCCACAGTGCTTCTATTTCCTAACAGTGTGCAAGTAAATGAACTAAGCATAAATAAATAGACCGTAATCAGCACTTTGCAGTGGCATGAGGCTTGCACCAGTTATAACAGAGACAGTTATAATTGGCACACAGTTCCACACTTTCCCACAAGCCTGTAATTTGCTCTGACCCCTGCTGCATCCACTCCAACTGGTAAGACGTAGGCCATCATTACTTTGTAAACTCAAATTATAAAACATAGCCATACTGTGTAAATGTGTCTGCATACAGAGACAAACACATACATCCAGTGCTGCATTTCAGGCATTTGGCTCACGTTGTATTTTGTGTAAATAACGTTGTGTGAGGAAAAGTTCAAGTGCACAAGATCCCAGACTACAGCTTTTAATGTTTCTGGGGATATCAAGCTGCGCTGGGTGTAATGTGCCAAAAGCAATCAGTGAAAGGAGAATTTTAGAAGCGGACAGACACAAACAGTGATCACTGTGTGGTGCCAGCGTCTGCTCACCCACCTGGCACTACTCCATTGGTAGCGATGGCACTCATCGAGATGGCAGTCAGCATGGTCTGCACAGAGAGGGAGGGAGGGAGGGGGGGGGACAGAGGAGCAGAGAGAGGAACATTAGGACATATTTATCAAGTTCTGCATGTGAGTATTGAGTTGATTCTCGAGTTGTTCATCTTTTAATCCTTTAAAAAGTAGTATTTGTGTTTTCTTTCAAAACTCGATTCAACCCAAATGCACTGTATGAAATACATGGTTTCCATCTGTAGACTTACAAAGTTCACGATCAAAATATCTTGGTGACATTTCACTTGAAAAGGAAAACCGTTGACCTCTTTTGGTGCTAAAATAACAAAAAGTACAATAACAATCTATCCTCTAGATGTTGAGACAATTTAGTCAATGTTAGACTGACTGACCACAGAAAAAAACATACTCCGTTCCATTTTATTATCTGCTATTTAGTAAAAGTCACTTCTTTGTCAGATTTTTAACACGCTTAAAGCTCACATGTGATGTTATATAGATAGAGATGTTGGCCATGAGGGTTGTGCAATAGGTCGCCATTGTCAGTAAAGTATATGCATATATTTTGTTGGAAAGGCTGTCGATTGGGTGGATTTGGTTTAAAAATAATAATTAATATAGTAGCAGGATTAAAGGAAATGTATGTCCAGGACACATTTCCTTACAGGGACAAATGATATCATACTGTATCGTGTTTAAGAAATACATTTACATATAGTAATTTCCTCCCAGTGAGGCCCATGATATCAGCGTCAGGCCCGTGGTATGTAACATCAACATATCATGTGAAGGAGTTTACGTGAGGTCAACGCTGATTTACTGCCATGCCTTGTACTAAAGCTGACTGGCTGTTGATTAGATAAATAAGAATGCCACAGGGCCTGTCACCAGCTGTCAGAGCACATTGAGACAGCCAATGACGACTCTAATGCATCTCCTGTGCTGGGAGCGGGGGGGAGAAACACCGGAACAAATGTGAGGGCATGCTAGGATGGAGAGCGCTGGCTGCCTGCAACACAAACAGAGGAGGAGAGAGAGGCAGGCAGCAAATGGACCAGGAAGATAGAGAGAGAGAGATAGTGTGTGTGACAGTACAAAGAAATAATTAAGATTTCATCATTTTTTCAAATGCTATTGTTCAATTTCTGAGTGTCTTTTCACATTGTCTGCACATGAAAGAGAGCGAGGGAGACGAGATGTGAGAGCGGGCTGGAAAAAACACAGAGCCATCTCCTGAAGAACTTCTCACTGCTTTCTTTATGTTGTCTTCCCATTTTAATTGTGTTGTCGCTTACTCTTGAATGTATTGTTGGAGTCATAGTTTTAAAACAAGACCTGCTATAGTCTGCAGTTTTATTTTTGCTTTAACTTATTCAGCATCAACCCAGTTTGTGAAATCTTTGACATTTGCTAAATCTGCCGTCAGTGTGAGGTGGGTCTTCTCATTCACAGTGGAACAGAAGACAAACAGGCTAATTCAAATGTCAACCATCATATCCATCTATTTTTATCTACAGAAAGTTTGGCAATTAAAATCTTAGTGACAATATCTCACATTATGACAACACAATGGGGGCGGGGGGGTTACCAAACTACTCATGATAATGACTTAGCGCCTGAAAGATACATCTAATAATTAAAGATAATCACTGACTGGTGTTATCGGCGTATAAGTCAGCTGATAATTGCAGTGCGGAAATAAATTAGAGTTTAATTGTTTAATGAAATAGAAGATCCCCTCCAAACATAAAAAAAACATGTTTGGAGGGGGAGCTTCCTTTTGAATAAAGCCTATAGCCTCCGAACATCCTCCTAGGGTCCTACATTCTATGGTATTTCATATTTTTCTATTTTTATTTGTATTTTACATTTCATCTTGTAATGTTACGATATTCTATATAGATTTGTATATTGTCATTCATGTTTGTTGATCTGTAGCCTACGGAGACAAATGTGTTTAGTGACATTGGGCTATATAAATACAATTTGATTTGATGTAAAAATAATCTGTTTATATGTCTGATATCTTTATTTATGCTCAAACTTAATCATTATGTTTATTCAATGTTGTTTAATATTGTTTTTGACAGCTATATTTCCAGGGAAATTGACTGTCACATGTAGATTTAGTCAAATGTGTTTCTAGTTACCTAAGATACATGGCATCATACAAGTTGTTTCAATGACGGACAACATTTAAATAGCAGTATCTACCTCAAAAATCCAGTATTGCCTGGGCTCTATTATAAATGTAATGGTTAATAAGCTTAATGGTTCCAACTTGGATACCCTTAATAGTTGCTACAACAATTACTACTTTAAAACACAATGGGTTATAAGAATTGTTCCTTGATACTGTATAATATCATTCTGTGGTTGTTGTTGTGGTGTTTCGGTGACAATCCCTGAAGATAAAATCACAACATAGCTAACTTGGAGCAGCAGGAAAGAGTGGGACTTGTAATGGAATAAAGTGGGTCCCAGGCGGGTATGTTGGACTGTCATTCCGTGCGTCTGTGTGAAGACTGTAATGTGGTTAGTGTCACCTGAGGGCCCGGCGGACTGACGATCAGCAGTGAAGAATGAGTGGGACCGGGCTCTGTTTCTCGCTCTAATCTGGTCATAATGAGGCCACAAGCTCCTCTCCCACCACAGCAGATAAGACAGTAATTGCTTAAGTGTTTTATCTGATGTGGGCAGCGGCCCCGGAGAGGTAGTCCGCCGCATACTGAGTCACTGAATTACCACCGACTGTCCAGGGCCACCGGTGAGATGATATGATTCAGACGTACTGCTACAGTCAATAGACGTGCAGTATAGGTTATACTAAGATATGGATTACATGTATTTCAGTAATGGTAAGGTAAAAAGACAATATGATTTGAAAGTTTAGTTTTAGTTGTTTTTTTTGACTGGATTTTGTCTTCAATTATAACTAACTGCTCAATAAAAACCCCTCACAACAATTGTGATGTGCATTCATCTTGAAGGATCTTTTCTTTTCTTGCCACTTCTATCTGTGTCTTTGCCGTCTAATGTGAAAACATGCACATATATAAGTACTATGTTTATGTTGACTACCTACAGTAGTAACATACGGTACCTCAGAATTATTATCTATGTTTGTTTTGTTTATTATGTGTAGTTGCTATACTAACAATTGAACATTTTGTATCTATGAAAAACGCACATTTATTTTCAAAATGTTTGTAGGGCTCATTGTCTGCATTACAAAAACAATGATGCTACATTTGAATGTCTACTAAATTAAGCAACAGCTGGTTAGGAAGCATACTTTTTGTCAGGGACACTCTTTAACTTGATTCTTTAAGCTCAATTTAATTTATAGAGCCATCAAAAACAAACCAAGTCTACACATGAAATGTACTTTTAAATTCATTTTTAAATTAAAGTTTTTTCACAGACTTCCCAGTCTCAATCAGCTTGACACCACTGCTCATGGAGGTATCTGCATTTAGTTAGCTAAGCTAGATATTTAAAGCCAGTTGGTGATGTGCTAAGTTAATGTCAATCACCAAAGCTAACTGCCCCATGGCCCTAAATTAACAGAAGGGAAGGACTTAGATAAAAAGTCGCAATTACAAATCGTACTTCTAATTCAGCATCATGGATTTATCTCTACACAACTCAGCTAGACTGCTGATATTTCAGAGCCATGATCATTGAGTCAGGCTGACCAGACTTAGATACTCAACTAAACATCCCCCTGCCCCTGCACCCCCCTGATATCAGAGGATGGAGAGGGCAGGTTAACAAGGGGCATCATCTTTTTTCAATTTGCTAACAAGACACTTTTTTTTACGCTGCTATGTACATTCCCTAAGATATTGAAGTGACTGTTATTTTGTTGTGTTTTATCTTAATCTGTGCATATGTGTCTGTTGATTGTATATATATATATATATATATATAGGATATACATATTTTATACATATTTGTATACATATTTATATATTTGTATTTTTGTATTCGGGATTGTTGGAAACGTTATTTTCGATCTCTGTCTGTACAAACTGAAAGATTGACATTAAAGTTGACTTTGACTTTGACCTTGAAGGGGGTGGCATCCCTCCTCAAACTGCCCTCTGGCTGCAGATGATAAGTTATGCCAGTGACACTTTTTATATAAGTGCTTGTTTGCTAGAAAAGAGAAGCCAGAGTTGATCTTCCTACTGTTTCAAATCAAGGGTGCATTGTTTAAAAAAAATACTTCCTTAATTGTTGAGTGGTAAATCTGCCTACAATATCATTGTGAACTTCATAACTCTGAAACAACAGAATGCATAGCAACAGAAACTAAGGGGAGTAGCTAAGTGAACAGTCTATCTCTTGATTTAGGTTTTGGATGGATGTTATGGTAATTGTAGATTCATCCATCTTTTTGTTTCAACAGTCTAGCAGACATGTTGCCTTGTCTAGACCACCACGAGCTCCAGACACGATACATTAGCAACGGTGACCTTTCAAAACTCACTCAAGCATTGAGTCCCTGGCGAGCCAAGTCATTTCACTCCTGTCCTCTGGTTAATCCCTGATGGTCTGTCATTTTCTTGACATGCAGTTAGCAGATTTTTCTTTTTATGAAGTACTATTTGGTCACTTTAACTTTACTTTTAGACATGTCCTACTTTTTTATTCTCGAGTACCCTTCTGAGTGTCACTGCAGACAGGGAAATTAACAAATGTTATCCATCATCTGCTGTCACCAACATAAAGGGTATCTGCCCGCCCTGCAAAGTTTGCACTGATCTCAGAAATCTCATCTTGGTTTGCTACAAATCTCAATTAACTTGATGGATGATTTAATATCTCAAATTTGGGACTAAGTGGTTTCAGCCCTTCCTTTTTCTCCCCCTTATGATTGCCAATAATCCCGAATACTTCTCCAGATGACCTTGTGTCCGAGTCAGCACCTGGTTGTCGGACTGGCACTGGAGGCAGCATTGCTCTACTGTAGATTTGCAGAGTCTTTTTTCCCACTGACCCAGAGCCTGTGGCCTGTTTTAATGTCCCACTTTCAGGCAGTGCAGGTGACCTAAAACTGCTCTGAGTTTCTTTGATAGAGTATACACATTTGTCTTGCTCTATGAATCCTGGAGTGCCTGTACCTCCAAAATCCAATGCATCCACTGGGCCTCTGGCTCTTAAGCGTGCCAGCAGAAACACGTCAGATTATGCCGCCTCGCCATCTTTCTGTTCATATGAGTTCGACAGCAGACAGCTTACATATCTGACAAAAGGGACAATTTCCTTCTAAATCAGTGTGAATGCTAGTGAAACTTGAATAATTGCTAAACCACCATGATTACGTCTGAGCCAGAGGAATGCATTTGGCGTAGAAGCTAATTTTCACTTTTTAAGAAAAAGAGTCTGCTGATATACCCGTGACGCTGACTGCAAAGGACACTTTAAGTCTGTTTCTTCCCAAAGCTACAGTCAAACTTTGATTTGGCCTTTAGTCGACCTCGGGCTTGAGGGGAAATTAGTTTTGACAGGAAGGAGGTTCTGCGCTGCCCTCAGAGCGTGCTTCATTAACATGCTTCATTAAACCAACGCAGAATGGTTTTGTCAAGTACAATTTCATCAGTTCACACACAGTGGTACAGGAGAAGACTATTTTCAGTGTGTGGTTTATCACTTGTAGTCCCTGTGGGGTGTACACTGCGAAGGAGACGGAGGTGATTCTTACTTTCAGACCAACACTGAGGGATGGAGACGGAACAAAAAAGGACGAGATGCTGCTGTGTGAAAGAGGCGGAGGAGAGAGGTGGAGAAGGAGGGCAAAAAATGGATGGTAGGTTAAAAATAATGGAAGTGAAAAGAGATGAGAAGAAGAGAGGGGGGAATAATGACACATTAAAATGAAAAAATGGGGTTGGAGAAATTGAGATGAGCTATGAGCACAAAATGAAAGGGATGAAGGGAGAAAAGCATCCTTAGCATTTAAATGAGTCACGACAGAGGGCAGACCACCCTTCCCCTCGCAGCATTTGGATTCAAGACCTGGAAGTAATGAGGAAGGCCAAACAACAGATGACTCTCCATCGAGAATGTTAAACCTCATTTTATCTTGGTGACAAGCCTGCATTCATTATCTGCGCTAAAAATACACACACGCAGCGCATGTGTGAATATACGGGCTGGGAGATGAGCGTCTGTGTTCATACAGTGACTTTTATAATGGTTGTGTGTGTATTTCATAGTTAATGGTATAGAATGTGTCAGGGCTGTTCCACATGGAGGCACATTCCTCATATAGTAATGACTCTCCGAATGTTCGCAGGCTCGTAATGTTGTGTCAAAATGTTGCGTGACAGAAAAATAACGGGGTAAGCGTTCGGCATTTGCAGACATGTTCCGCTGTGATTGAGCAGCTAATGACAAGTGCTCCGTCAGAGATATCCCATCATGCATTCATGTGAATAAAAACATGGGCTCGTGCGGTATCTTATGGAGCTTTACAGCATGCGTGATTTCTCCCCACTTCGAGTCCTGTGGATTTCACTAAAGGTGGGGGATCGCGGCGCACATGTATGTACACACACACACACACACACGCACGCACACACACTTACTCCTGCGGTGTGTTGCTGGTGGTTATGTGTTATGTAAGGAGCTCAGGAGGAGAGAGGTGGGGGTTTCTCACTCACCGTTCACGCTCAGGCTTATCGCCCCGGGGCTCTGCAATGAGCTCACTGTGACTGATAAGAAAGAAGTGTGTGTGTGTGCTTTGGTGTGTGAGAAAGATAGTAATGGTAAGAGAAACGAGAGAGGAAAAACAGAATTCATGTTACAGCCGTTACATATTTCCCCCAGTGTATGACATGGGAGGAAATGCAAGTGTGTGTGCAAGTAGGAGACGCTTAGATAGTGTGTGTGTTGTTGTGTGTTGGCATGATTTCCTGTCAAAATGAACCAGCTTTGATCTTGGAGGGTGTTTTTTCTACATAATTTATCGTGCTATCTTTAGTAGAAAACTGTGGACCATATTTTTTCCCATAACAACAGAATATCTCCTCCTGTTTTAGAAAATAGACACTGGGATGAAATGTGTTTTATCACATTCACTAATTAAACTGTAAGACTATTCAAAATGACTTAATAAGCTGCCATTTTGTCGTTTGTAATATCTATATTTACAATGTAATATTCCAAATATGTTTTCCAAAAATCCCTTTTCAAATTAGCATCAAAATCAAGAATAAATAAATACTGCTTCTCTCATCACGCTGTTTGAGAGCCCTCTCTTCACTGTCACACAGAAACATGATTGGGAAGCATATTGCCTGTGTGTCTGTGCAGGCAACTTTGCTATGGTTGGGATTTGAGGGGGTTGTTCTATAAATACACTCTGTGCTCGAGGAGAAACTAGGCTGCACAAACACACACACATGCCAACATACAGCCCTGCCACTTCGCACTGCAAAGCAACAGCACACAGACACACTGACAGCTGACACACTTTGAATTAAACTGCCATGTACGATGACATAAGAAAGGTTTTCTGTTGCACTTTACATTGAAAAGCTACAATCAGATTGAACAGAGAGCTTTGACACATGATCTCCTATCCACCTCCGCTCTCCTGAATAAATAAAAAGCTGGGCATATTATATGTTCCCTGACAATCAATCGCATGAAACAAGTCAAACACGATCACTTTGTAGCAGCCACTCAGATCAATGTCGGCCGCGCTGTCGGTCCTGTGGGACAGTGTGTTTTGTAATTTGAGTCTCAAGGCCACGACTAGGTGTCAGTCCAACACCAAAGTCACTCTGACACATGACAGCCACTGACATTAATGGGAACCAGGGAACATCACAGTGTGTCATCTTCCATTTTGTTCTTTTCACAGATCCAATGCACAGTGCCTTTCAACTTACATGCAAAGCTAAATTGTGTTTTAACGTTGCCTCTGTTTTAATGCTGTTTTAGTCCCAGCACATCTAAGGCATATTCTTATGTCTCTCTTTGTGATGCACTTGGGTGCCTCTTCGCTTTTAAAAGTGTTATGTAAATTAAATAACTTGCGTCTTAGAAGGGACTTTGTTTGTTTTAAGCCTTCATACGGTAGCTACTGCAGTTACAACAATGTTTTACTACACCAATAGACAGTTTGATAAAATAAGATAAAACTAAAAACATCTTTCCTTGAAATGCTGCCTTCATAAGTCTTGTTTGGTGTGCAGCAAGATCTATATCACCACCACAGCCGGGTAAAGCAATACAACTCTTAAACTCTTTTTCATGAGTGTGTTGTGCGTGAAAAACAGGAAGACTGTTGTTTTGGTAAATTCTACTTAAAGCTGATTAGTTGTACAGACAGTGGTGTCGCACTGAGAAGGATCAGCATCTGAGAGTCTGGGCTACTTAAAATGGTTTCTAAATTGCATGTGTGAGTTTTTTTTTAATGTTAATATAAAGGATATGTCTGATGATATTCAATATTTTCAAATCAAATGAAATCAAAAGACTCAATCCGGCAATGCATTGATCCTACCAACATGTTTTATTTGTAGTATTGCCATTTTCTTTCATAACCATGAATATGACCATCTGCTTTTTAAAATACTCACTAGCAGCTAAATGTATTCCCTAACAAATGCACCATTTACTTCTGTTGAGTAGCGCTTGTTGAAAACTACAATGGCCAGATGTTTTCAGAAATTGCACAGCCATTAAAAAGTACATCATTGGGAACAATTTTCCAGGATTAACGTCTTCAGTGGGGTTTGGACTAAAGGATACATATCAATGTTAACCAAGACTGTACAGTGGGACCAAAGTTGTCTATACCTAAGGAAATAACGTAATTTAGAATCTGCAATTGGATTCTTCGCAGTATTCTGTAAGGGTGTTAACTCTCAGATAGGAAAAGGCTTGACAAACTAATAAGGACTGCAAGCTTGGCACTGTGGTGTTTATTGAATACGGGAAAGTGTTAGTTTTTTGGCCAAGATATTGATCATTAAGCAGTAGAACATGAAATATCAAGTTGTCTTGTTAAACACCATTTTCATCAATAAAATGCTAAGGTGTTTTTGGGCTAATCCAGTGAGTTAATTATTTGACAAATCTTGCAAAAGCCAGGAAATAAAGGGTAAAGTAAACTTCTCATGATAGACACATTGAAGCTGTCTAGTGTGTATCACAGCTCCTTAGACTTGTTCTGTTCCCAATGAAGGTATTCAAAGTGAACATCTGGTATCTTTTACTACAATAGAGCTCATTACTGTACAGCTGTATCTGCTGCCATGTATCTTATAATATGCCGCCCGTCAGTTTAAGGTCACTCCTTAATGAGGCCTTGCTGCAACATGAGGCTTAAATGAAGGTAGGAAACACACTCACGGTGGAACAGCAAATGAAGACGATGACGAAGCACCCGACCACGCCTCCGATTCCCACCAACCAGGTCATCCTGAGGAAGAGGATGACTCCGAAGATGTTCTGGATGCACGGCAGGTACACGCCCATCAGAGTGCCGAGCTGGGGGGCCTGGAGGAAGACGAGGGGGGGGAGATATTAGAGTTAAAAGACCCAAACAAGGTCATTTATAAACTTTATTTGCACAATTATTCAAACGTGGTAATTTCACAGGCATGACTTGTCGGTTTAACTGTACTGTAACACAGTCAATTCAATAATTTCATTGTTTTTTCTTCCAGTAACACTTTATTTCTAATGTACAATTTAGAATCTCAGAATACAGATGTCAAATGTCTAGATGTAGAACCTCCTGCTGCTTTTCCACAAGCCTGACGCACCAGATGTGCAGGACTTGCTGAATGACTCCTGCTTCACTTTGGAAGTCTGTGCGAATCGATGAAAGTCATCACACCAGCCGTGCATGCTGGGAATCACAGTTTGCAAATTTGCTATAGCTTCTGTGTCTCTTTTTCTGCGAGGGGTCACGTGCAAAGTAAACACACCACAGATGGTCACGCTGCCATTAAGGCAAAACAGACATTTACTTGTAGGACTTCATAGATTATTAATTTCAAAAGGACCAATTTGTAATTGTAATACGCTGCTCTCGGTTGAAATAGCTGCTGGTGTCACATTACTGTCTTTGTTTTTAGATATAAACAAGTGTCTCCATTATGTCAATCTTAACAGATAATTCCTTCCTTTGTTCATCCTCCTTCACTTCCTTTTCTTAACTCTTCATTTTGCTGTTGCATGCATTGAAAACGTTAATATTTGCTAGTTATTTAGGTATTTAAAGTTAAAAGGCTCTTAGTTTTTCCACAGACTTCAGCCTACATGTCGATTTTCAACTTACGGATTTACCATGTTGTAAATTCCTTCCTGATTTCCCCAACCCATAATTACTTTGAGTCCAGGAGAGAAAGAAAACTTAAAGATTGGGAGGCAGCCTAGGGACTGATCTCATTCAATGGATGGATGGGTTATTATTTGTATTTCTTTAATGCCTTGGCTCTGTTCTGGTTGGGTTTGCTGCAGTGCTGTCCCTGGTGTGGATCAGTGGACAAAGACAGAGCTGCTCTGCACGTCCTCACACAGCTCCAGAATCTCTTTCAAGGCCGTTCCATTGAAGGCGATTACTGACACACAGAGAGTGAAGACGTATTTGGTTGCACGTCACATTGATTAATAGGAGTTTTTTTTCCTGAAGGTTTTTAGGATGAACATCGATGTGTGTGTGTGTGTGTGTGTGTTTGTATGCAGCTATTTATTTGTGCATGATTGTTTCCCAAGTGTGTGTGTCTGCACGAACTTGATGGCTTGTATTACATTTGAAGGACACATCAGCTGACCCTGTACATAATAGAGAAAATATTCATTTCCTGCTCAAGGACAGCTTGGCCAATAAAGGGTAATTATGCCCATATCAAGCCATGACCCATTTTTACCGAGCGATAGTGCAGACCTTGACTGTCAAATCATTACATCGAGGATAACATATGGAAACACCTTCTCTGATGCATCTCTTGAATGCAGACAAACAGGATAAATAGAAGTGTGATTAGCTCTGCTTTGTGTCAGCAGAGATGTTATTTCCCAAGAGGATTTGTCACAAAAAAGGTGTTTATTACTCAGATCGGAAGCAAACAAAAAGCAAAGTGATAATACTTATCTCACATAAACAGGGATTACAAGCTCTATTAGACTACAAACACTTGGGAGCTTACGGTATCTCTGTTATTTACTGGAGTTGTTGGATGATTTAGTTATTTCTACCTAATACCAAGGTCTTTTTGGACTAAGATCATATGTTGTTAATGAATACATTTTGCGAGTGTTGTGTCTTTATTTGGATAAAATCCTACAAACTTCTGAAAGAATTGGTTATATATAAAAGCCAATGCTATCCCTCGATGAATGAACCTTTCAACAAACATGTTATTGATGCAAAAGGTTGTAAAACCGGCCCCGCCAGTCCCATCACAACAGAGCCAGCAGCTTAGGTAACAACAACAGCAGCAACTAAAGATGTAAATGAACCAAATGTACAGTCTATTAGAGAGAAAGTTATAGCAGCTTTCTTTTTTACGGCTTTGTTTGGACCCAATTGGCATTTTATTATTTTGAGTTTTTGTAACTCAACCAAAAAGGTGAGGGTGACAACGCCTTGAGAGGACAATTTATTACCTCCCCCAAAGAGGATTTGTTTGTTTGTACGTTTGTTAGCAGTTAAACCACTGGCATGATTTTCGATACAAATTGGAGGGTGTAGCATGAGCAAAGGGAGATAAAGTAAATGTTTTGAGCAGGTTCAAATCAAGAGAATATATACACATCATTTTTCCATTATAGAAAGAGCTGTGGCTAAGATCTCCCAGTGCCTTGGAATTTGACAAAATAATCCAAGCAAACATATGTAAACTAACTAATAATGGTTAAATGTCCACTCATCCCAAAATCCCTCCGTACTAACTAGTGCACTAGATTTACTGTCTGCCATTTTATTGAACATTCCGAATGGCATGTGCACTTTATGTTTTACGAGGAAGGAAATGCAGCGTCTTGACACATGTCACTCAGCGGTGGATTGATACATTGGCTGACTCATATTAGCCTGTTGCAGACTTGTCGGTCAAACTGCAGTACAGAAATGGCAGAATATTGTTGAGGTCATTTTGAAACAATGCCACTATTACATCATTAAAAAGCAGCAGCAGAGATAAGTGACTCTTGGTCAAAATTCTTTATCAAAACATCTGATTTGCTTTGATTCTGTTGCTATTGAAATATAAATGTAATATAATCATGATATTCTTATCAGATTTTTAAATATCCATCAATATTAACCTCCTGTATTATCTGTGCTGTAATCTGTTCATCTCTTCGGCTTCAAACTCCATTACGAAATAATGATATCCCTTTGTTTTATCTACACAGCTTGGTTGTTTTATTAAAATTGCAGTAACAAGATGGACACTACAAGATGGAGGATTTGAATACATGGAATAAAATAAAGCTCGGCACTGGGTAGAGATAGCAGATGCTGAATTTGTAAACCAGACTTTTAATCAAATCATCCTGACAAGTGGCTGACATCAAATGAATAATATTGTGCCTTATGATGCTACAGTATGTGATTTGTTTGGAGAGGCTTGCTTCCCAGCATTAATAATGTAATGTTTGCAGCAGAGAGGACAGAGAGAGAGAGAGAGAGAGAGAGAGAGAGAGAGAGAGAGAGAGAGAGAGAGAGAGAGAGAGAGAGAGAGAGAGCAAGAGAGAGAGAGAGCAAGAGAGCGAGAGGGGCAGAGAGAGAGGGGGAGCAAGTCCAAACAGGTCTTGCAAATATAATTATCTTCTAATTTCCTTCAGATAAACAACAGAGCAAGAGCTCACACTCCAAACTGTAATTAGCGAGCTATCGCGCAGGAAACCCTTGATCTGGTTGTGAGGGATGCAAATGTATTCAAAACATGCTGAATCTTATCATATCACACCACAGCGTGTGTCATATCATATCATGTATAATACTTCATCACATATTGTATCAATTTCATATCTGACTTGATGATATGATTATACAACCTTACAGATGGTTTTTGTAGGAGAGATCCTCATATTATTTAAATACGTACAAGATGTAGAAATGCATTCAATATTTTAAGTAGCGAAAAATACGTAATAAGATTGAAGCATAATTATATAATTCCAAACTTTTATTTGCTCATTATGCAGGATATCCCATGGATTATACTCATGAATAAATTAATGAACACATCACTTTAGCGGAAAAAGGTGGGGCTGATTATAAATACTAAAGCTTTATCTGTAATAATAATCAGATGAAATGTTCGTAATATTCTGTTTTAATAATCTGAATCTGAAAGTAACTAAACTCAGCAAATATTTGTAGTGAAGTAAGAAGTAGTTGCAACGTAGTGCGTGAAAAGTATAAAGTAAGAAAAATGTAAATACCGGAACTACAGATCTTAAGTAAACGTACTTTCAAGTATTGGACAACTCATCATATATATGTAATGTAAAACAGAAATAAAAAATATATTACTTTAAATATAATCAAATGTTAGCATCTAAACAAGATCGGCACTGTTTAACAAACTACTGTGGACACATGTTTTTTTATTTCCACATTCTCAGACTATTGTTATAGGAGGAGGATTGGAAACTGCCGGTACTGTACAGTGCGGTGCTTGAAGCTGCCCTGTGGAGTTTTTATGTAAACAAACAGAGTTTCCCTTTACATTCAGAATCACCTGTGTGCACAAGGTGAAATATAAAGGGAACCCACACAGAGGAACATTCCTCCATAGCGCTACTAATGGTCCAAAACTCCACAGGGGGACCTCTAACAAGATGTGCATCTAGATGTTAATGCTGAGGCAGTATACAGAACACAGTAACAAAGACTGCATTTTCCTGTATAGGATGAATGTTTTCTATGTTAACCGAAAGGTGAAGGTGTTATTTTAAAGATCCATCTTAGAATCTGTCCTGACCTTCTCAGTTATTTGTTGGTTTGGAAATGTAAATGTGCAAAAAAAGGTCCTGTTTTTGTGTGTTGGGGTCTCCTAAAGGAAACCAGAATGTTTTAACAGTCACATTATTGCATATGAAAGCAAAATCATTTCCAAAGGTTATTAACATAGGAGCATCTATTTGATGTCTATAATTGCCCAATTGTACTTTTTGGGGTTGCATTTGTTTTATGGTGCTTTACTCTGAACAATTACATTTTGAACTGTGTTGTTTAAAGTCTTACAATATAGGTATTTTAATGTTTAATTTAGCCTCATACAGCTTGTGTTTCTCCTCAGTCGAGCTGAAATGTAACCTTCTACCTTCCCTCTCCTTTTACTGAATCCTCACAGCAGGGAACCTCTCAACCTTCAGCTTCATTGTGCTTTAATCAAAGATCCACATCACGGCCTCCACAGGATGCTGAGGGGGAGCAGCGGAGAGCAAAACCTCGTCCGTCTCTGTCACCCCCCCCCCTCTTATATGATAATGATTCAAACAGTTTGTCTGTTGTCTAAGCTAATGCAAATCAGATT